CATGAAACCATGAAACCATGAAACCATGAAACCATGAAACCATGAAACCATGAAACCATGAAACCATGAAACCATGAAACCATGAAACCATGAAAAGAAACCATGAAACCATGAAACCACGAAACCGCGAAGCCATGGAATTGAATTTCGGGGGAAAGGGCTTAAAATCAAAAATTTTTGGATCTTAGCATTTCAAACTCTCGAGGTTCGCTCTCAAAATGGCGAAAAATGTGGAAAATTTTCGAAATTTGAAAAAACGCGAATCCAAGGAATTAAATTCCAAGCAAAGGGCTTAAAATCAAAAATTTTGGGATCTTAGCACTTCAAACTCTCGAGATTCACTCTCAAAATGGCGAAAAATGTGGAAAATTTTCGAAATTTGAAAAAACGCGAACCCAAGGAATTAAATTCCAAGCAAAGGGCTTAAAATCAAAAATTTTGGGATCTTAGCGCTTCAGACTCACGGGATTCACTCTCAAAATGGCGAAAAGTGTGGAAAATTTTCGAAATTTGAAAGACGTGAATCCAAGGAATTAAATTCCAGACAAAGGCCGCAAAGTCAAAAGTTTTGGGATCTTAGCACTTCAGACCCACGGGATTCACTCTCAAAATGGCGAAAAATGTGGAAAATTTTCGAAATTTGAAAGAACGCGAATCCAAGGGATTAAATTCCGGAGAAAGTGCTTAAAATCAAAAATTTTGGGATTTTAGCGCTTCAAACGCACGGGCTTCACTTTCAAAATGGCGAAAAATGTGGAAAATTTTCGAAATTTGAAAAAACGCGAATCCAAGGAATTAAATTTCAGAGAAAGGGCTTAAAATCAAAAATTTTAGGATCTTAGCCCTTCAAAATCAAAGGGCCCACTCTCAAAATGACGAAAAAGGTGGAAAACTTTCGAAATTTGAAAAACGCGAAGCCAAGCGATTGAATCTCACGGAAAGGGCTTAAAGTCAAAAGCTTTGGGGTCTTAACGCTTCAAACTCCTGCGCCCCAATCTCAAAACGGCGACAAAATTTGGAAAATTTTCGAGATTTGAAAAACGCGAAGCCAAGGCATTGAATTTCGGGGGCAAGGGCTTAAAGTCAAAAGCTTTGGGGTCTTAGGGCTTCAAACTCACGGGATTCACTCCCAAAACGACGAAAAACGTGGAAAATTATCGAAATTGGAAAAACGCGAAGCCAAGAGAGTTTTGGGATCTTAGCCCTTGACTTCAAACGCACGAGATCCAATCCCAAAACGATGGCAAAACGTGGAAAATTCTCGAAATTTGAAAACGCATATCGCTTACGTCTTTGCCTTGCTTAGTTTCTTATTTTGGGGAGGGGGGGATCCTAGTGGGAGGGATGTTGTCGGACGCTCCAAGCTAGTAATACTGTAACAAGTTCTTAATACTGTAACAAGTCTACAATACAATGAACTAAAGGCAAACCCGCTACTTCTAGTACTCGACTCTAAAGAATACTGTAACAAGCTCTTATTGATACAACTAGATGTAGATGATGAATGGCTCCGGTATTTGGTAACCTGAATTTGATCACAAGGATTCTCTTCTTGTTTCCCCTTATGATCAAAGTTATCAGGTTACCAAAGACCGGAGCCATTCAGATGATACAATCAAAATGAAAAATACCTTCTGAAATGACAATTCATTATTTCATGCCCCTCTTCACCTCTCCCTCCTCCTCCAACCATCCCAGGTGGTCCATCCGCGCCAGAACATGCAAGTTACTGCAGTTGCCAGGACAGACGAGCGACTCAATCCCTGGCCCTGGAACGTATCCGGTGCCCACAACTACGAATTTCGACCATCCATGCGCTAAGATGCCTGCGAAAACGAAATTTGGGTCTGCACCAAGATTTAAGGACTACGATCCAGAAGACGTTTAGACTCCAGAAGACGTTTAGACAACGATCATGAACAACATAGTCATAGAAAGACGACGTCTTTATTCCTTACAAGGTAACATGAACACCAAGTTCATCACGAACATCAAGTTCAACAACACCAACACAACACCAGGTTAAGGTTTTTACAGCAATCAGCATCAACAATTATCGAAATCTGATTCTACTAGCACAAACAGCATATTGTAATGAATCACCGACATTCTCATTCACATTATCACTAGCATACGACGAGTGTCATTGTAGAATTATCATGTGTTACACTTACAAAAAGAAAAATATGTGTTACAACATCAACTAGAACATGAAACTACTCTAGCAAGACTTGTTTTCCACCTTTTGTATCGACAAAATTAATTGCTACTACATAACAGTAGCTCTAGCTGCTGTCGCCGTGACGTCGACGTGTAAAATGCGCATAAAAAATTTATGATACAGGACTACTTGGATTTGGTTTTGGAAGTAGAACAACATAAAATCGCTACATATTTAAGAACAACAACGATGAAGCTCATCATTGTATTTGTAAAAAGAGGATTCTTGAGTCGTGTGGTCGTGGTGCAACATGGAAACATACTAGAGAAATGCGAAATGTACATCCGGAACCGGAACACATCAAACAAATCCACAACGTCGAGCGAGGGCTTCTGAAACTGAATTTTCTAGGATCATCGTCTTCAAGATGAGAATCTGAGTTTGCGAGCGAATGTTCATGCTTGATGTTAGGAGGAGCGTTGGTGTTGTTCAAGACCACAGGCATGTCTCCGATTGATAGCTTGGTGGATCTGGATGATCCGCATTGATTTTGATTAGATAGGGCAGCGGTCCGGACGTTCTTGCGCACACGCTTGTGCTATAATTTGAGCAACCTGGTGGATACTAGAAATGGATCTGTACAAAGTCTAGTTCTGACTTTGGATTCATCGTCCCGTACTACAACATCGAAATACACTACAACTTCAAGAGGATTTACTGCCACTGGAAATAGCTAGTTAAACTAACCTAGCTAAACATCAGATGGAGAGCAGGCTTCTCGTAGCATATTCTTGATCATCTTCGTGTCTTCATATTTTCTCCTTATAGTTTTCGGCTTTGGGCGATAGCTATTCTGCTTCGCACTTCGTCTTCATCATCTGCTTCGCACTTCGTCTTCGCATAAAATATGAAATTCACGTAGCGTTAGGGTTAGCTGCATTCAGACTCAAAAATCCGAAAGACCTTTTTCAATTTCATAGAAAAAAAGATGATGCTAAAAGAGTGTGCTTTCGTAGGCATTGGTGCGCCTTCGTTCCAGGAGGATAGACCACAATCCGCCGAGAATGGATACGATATTGTTCGTTGTGGCAGGGTGTTTGACGAACAGATTGGTGGAAGTGCAGCATCTTCCTTGACTGGTAGTTCCTCTACGGGTGACGGTCGAAGCAAAACCAGCTCGTGGTCCAGGAAGCGAGGGATTACAACAACCGGTAGTACCACGTGGTGGCTCTGTGCTTACGACCGAGTTTTCGTGGACATCTTCCGGGAAAGCACGAACGTGAAGAAAGCGCTCCGCATAGGCGATCCTCATGTTGCTCTAGTGACAGCTTTAGAGTTTCTACCAACTTCTGGAGTTGGAGCTGGAGTAGTTGAAGTTGAACAGTCATCAGAACAGTCATTATGGACACCAGAACGAGGAACAAAAACCTCTCCATGCTGTACAGCGAGTTTTGCAGTTGGATTTTCTCATGGAGGGGTGTCCATTTTTAGCATAGTACATCATCCGAAAAAATCCGAAGATGTGTATGATGTAATGTGTGCCATGACATTCTGCTTGAAACCAGGCATCGTCGTGTCTCACATTGCTTACACCTTCGGTGGGCATACAGAAGATCACCGGGAAGACGAAAAGAACTCATTGTTGTGTTACGGCAGTTTTGCTATTAGGCGAGGTTACTTAAGTGCTCTAGTTTCGCATGCGCATACTACAGTATCTATATGGTATTTATTATCCAGCCCGAGTAACGACTATCCACGCGGTATCTCGACCCCAGGAAAAAAGATTGAATCCATAGGACGGAAAGTTTCTTATGCAGGACTTTGCCTTGTAAACTCTAATCTTTGATCCTGCACAACCATCACGACACCGAAAAGCTAGGCGCGAATCCACCACTGTCACCGCCCCGGATACCGATTGCAACGACTATTTCGAAAGGAGAAGTCGGGTCTGATGGTCTCGAGCAGCTAGCTGTCCCACCGCCTCCGCCTCCGCCACCACCTTTATGATGCAGGTCATTCTCCTCATCAATCAACGTTCTAATCATTCATCTACTACAGAAAAGTCAGCTTCACTACTAGTTCGTTGTAGGGACTACTCCACCAACTACTAGGAAAATTTTTAGTGCAGGGGTTAGTTTACCAAACGACCTACAATGTAGGCCTTTCATCATTATTCAGCGTGGCTGCTGGATATGGATTCATAAGTCTGTGCTGGTCGGAGAAAAAACCGTTCTAATTCCAGTCGACCTTCCGTCAGGCCATGGAGAGTTACCTACTGCTCAATCAAACAATAGCAAGCCCACCAACCGATCAGACCAGCTGAATTTCCACCAGATGCCTGGTGACCCGCAACCCTCGGCGGATTGCGATCGGAGTTTTGTTGTGCGAGTACCCTATGTTTGCGTTAAAAGAGCGATAGCAGAAGCTGCAGCAGGGTTCTTATGGTCATTTGCTTGTACTAGTTGTAGTTCTTCACCTTCACCCTGATAAGAACCTCTAGTAGAATCGTTCCCTGAGACTTAGACAAAGAAGCGTTTCCTTTGAGACAATGTGAAGAAGATTGACGACCTATAAGAGAAGTCATTGTCTATGTCTTCCTCCTCTAATAGTTGCCTCCACCATTGCCACACAAGCACAAGGTCAACAAGCACCTGGTACCTCTTCCAGCGCCGCATTCAAAGCAGAAATCCTTGAGTTACCCCAGACACAGACTGTTGCTTCGATCTGTTTTTTTCGACGGATGATCAATGAGAACTTTCAAATCACCGACCTCCCTTTTTTCGGCGATCCGGCGTCCGGCAACTCTCTTCCGACAAGCGGGACGGGACATGACCAATACAGCTATAATAGTGTTATGAAAGAAGTTCAAGGAGCCATCTCGATCCCCGTATTATAGTATACGTAGTTTCTGTTTCATATGTTGTATGTTCAGGTCACTGATTCTTGGTCTGAGGTATTGCCATTCAAGAACGTACATTCTGTTCAAATCATCGAAAAGGATCGAAAAGGAAAGTAGTAAGCATATGCAAAACTACCTGTACCCCCATCTGACTCTAATAAGAACCACATCTCTAGTACGAGTTCTTCAAGTTCCCGTGCTGGTCGTCGAGAGCAGGTTCTTCGCTTCGCTCAGGGTGGACGAAATCAAATCCTAGTTGCAGGTTCCAACCCCTTCCTGGCGAAATACGATAACATGTACTCAACTAAGCCGGCAGTAGCGGTGTCCGCTCTGGTCGAATCAGCGGTCGACTTCTTCTTTTCGCGCTTTACTGGTGCAGCCGCTGCAGGAGGCACAGGCGCAGCTGCATCTACGGGAACTAAAAAGGGGTACGATCCTTTTGCCATTCCGGTTGGGCAAAGACGACCTGCAGGTTTCGTCCAAGCTTACGATATTCAAGTCATTGACGACGGTGGAAGCTCTACAGCTTCTTCGAATACTAGTGCCGATGCAAGCGGAGGTAGCGGCACGTCTAGTAGTTCCTCTTCGAAGAAAATTTCTGTCGAGGAATTTGGTCTTGCGGCATCAAACACGCTAGAAGATCCTGGACGAAGCGCTCTTTCTTGTGCGCTCTCACATTAAGGCTTGAGGAAAAGCGTCTTTCCGCTCATCTTTGTCCCGTTTCTAAATGGAAACGGGTACGGAGATGCTAACCGGGAACCTACTACCTATGTATATTTCTGTAAGTCTGTTCTAATCAAAAGACAGTCGATATGTAGTCGTCGCTGACTCACTTGGCCGTGTGGGTCTCTATTGCTGTGAAACGCTTCGCTGCCTAAACCTCTGGAAAGGCTACCGCGAGGCTCAAGTAGCCTTTTTGCCCGTCAATGTTAAGAGTCGGCTTATCGAAGTTTGCCTTCCATGCATTTTGTACTTCTGGAAAAAACTCCAAGCGAAAAATCAATGATTGACGAGCCTGAAGTTGATCTAAGTAAGTTATAATTACAGTACCTGTGGAACAAGTACAAGTAGCATAAACTACGAAACTACGAAGCTGACCTCAGCCTCACTCTTCTAAAAATACAAACGACGACGGGGAGAACGAATTGGTTGTCATATACGCGACACGACGAGGGCTTCTAGAGGTATGGGATACGAGGCAGAGGGTGCGAAAAAGCGCCTTCAACTTAGGAACGAAGTCTGAAACAACACTTTTAGGAATGTCAGCGACTAGTTCTTGTACCACAGAGACTACCCCCATCCTTTTGATGCGACGGAAGAAAACGCAAGCCAGTTTTACCGATGGCGTTTCTCCTGAAGCGGGTTTCTCTTTGTGTCTGAGTTTCAACGCTCTGGTTGATGAAAAACATGAATAAAGGGTACTTCTCTCTCATGAACATTGTACTTCAAATATCAGTCTGACAACAACGTCAATGTCAACAAGCTGCACGCACCACATTTACTTGCTGTGTCGTGTCGACGTGTCTCGAAGTCGATTTTATGACTCTTGGATCAAGACTGTCGATGTTGATATATTGAGGCACTTATTCCAGAGCGATGAACAAACCAACAATTCATCTTCTATCGATTCTTCCACACCAATAAATCTGGTAGAGTTCGTTCTCGGTCTCGAATGCGTCAATATCTTCGGATTCGGTGGTTGTGTCTCGGTGTAATGTAACTGAGCAGTGGTCTTTGAGACATTTAATGTCGCTTCTGTTGTTGTCAATATGTAACGATAAAGAATCAGTCTGACAAAACACATCGTACAAGACTCGCACGTCGCTGTCCATCAGAGCTCTCCGCCTCCATTCTCCTCTCGTGCTCCTCCGCGCAACATCTCACAATCCATCTGCGCCTTCATTTAGATCTAAATTTAGATCTAAATTTACAACATGATTGCATTGTCACGGTTACTTGTTGTTTCTGAATCTAATTTCCATACGGTGCCTGGGCGAAACATTATCTCTTCATAATCTGTAACTGTATCTGTTATTAAAGAATTTACCATACTTACACACGTACTCAACAGGAGCAACAGGAAAAGCTACTACGACGAGAATGACCATCAACATGATGAAGGCTGGTCGACACCAGAGTAAGAGAATGAAAGGAGGGGGTGGGCGACGTCGTGAGAAGCGGAGAGTGTCTGCCCTTCACCGAAGCGGAGCGCTTTCCCTCGCGGCGCTTTCTCTGACGATTCAGGATGACTTATGGATAAGGATACTTTATTTTCATCATTGTAAATTTTCAAAAAGATGAGGGAGTCCATTGTCAAAAAAGAAGATAACTTCAATGTACTCACTCACACCCAATAATCACGGTTGAATCATGAAATGCTATCTCTAAACGACGCGCAAACCGGCGGCGCGTTTGCGAAGAAAGTTGTTCATAAGAAGCGGACGACGCAAATCCTTGCGGACAAGCAAAAGCCAAAGACCTCAACTTCTACGAACGAGACGCCCAGCAGCGAAGAAGGTGCTACTATTTGCCTACAGATTTTCCAAATCGACCCATTTGCATTTGCGATGTGAGTAAACGTTTTCACTCAAAACGATCAAATGGTACATCAACCTTACTCTGCAACCAATTTTTTTTCTCAAAATTAGATAGTAATTGAAATTAAATACAACAAAAACAGTGCCAACGGATACGGATTACCGAACAGAGGCATTCGAAGCTTCTGATGAAGGCGGCTCCGCCAAAGAAGGTACCTCTAGAGAATCACCGTAGAGTAGATTTCATTTGGAATATGGATGGAGCTGACGAGGAATACGTTGCGCATCGCGCTTTTCATAAACAGAACTCAATAGTACATTACGAGAAGAATGCACTGAGTTCTCACAAGAAAGAGAGTCAATGATCAAAATATAATAACATCACATCACGACCATAAGCATAACCAGGATCTGAAAGGTAGCACGATGAATTATCGAAGTTCTCTACCCTGCTAGGTCAAACTCAAACTGCTTCTGCTGAGCGGGGAGAACCGCCGGCGGAGGCTATGAGGTCCGATGGCATAGATACGGAGTCAATAGAAGAGGTGGTTGTTCTTAGTGACACTCCTGGAACTAACGAGAGGGCGAGCGCAAGAGAAGGAGAACAAGATGAACAACCGCTTCAGCGGTTTACAACAGCAGCTCATCCTGATCCAAACAAGCGTATCACAAGAATAGTCGGCCTCGGCAGGCCCGAGGAGCGCCGTTCTTCAAGTCTGCTCGAAAACCGGATCGAAGAAATGATAAGTGACATCGACGCTATCACGTACGGAAAAAATGTAGGAGCTGACAACCAAGCAGAATCAGGCTCAAATAAAGATCAACATGATAAGCGACAATCTTCTTCTTCTTCTTCTTCTTCTTCTTCGTCATCTTCTTCTTCTTCTTCTTCTGTTTCTGACGCCTATAGTACCAAAAATGACGCAGATGCAACTAGATCCAGTTTACAACTAGAAGAGACCACCTCGGACAACGGATCAGGACCTGCTTCCAATCAAGAAGTACAACTAGCATATGATCCACGTGTAGGTGTGGACCGTGAGCAATCGTTCCAAGAACTAGGAGAAGTTTTGGCACGACAAACATCTTTGTCCAACGACATGGATGGAGCTGCCGCCGGAGAGCATGATGATGATCACGATGAATCCGCGTTCGCGGCAATTGCCTCGGGATTTCTTCTTGTCTGAGAATATGTGCTTACTTCTACTCGTAGTCACTGGGACTAGCCTAGTCCGACTACGACTAGGTCCTTTACTCCAATTTGCACGACCACAAGATGAGGCACTAATCCAACAAAAGTTGTTGTACAGAAACAAGTAGAAAACAAGACCATGTTCATCCAAACTATCGAAAGGTAAGAACTAGAACTACAACACGCAGAGAAATTAGACTGAAGTTAGAACAAAGAACTGCGAGAGAGGTCGCACCAGATACACGGAGCAGATCATCCCCACTTCTGCTATTTCGTTAACATCAATAATTTACACTCACTTGCAGGCGGCCTGTCATAAATTGACGACCACGGTGACGACACTCATCAAACCAATAATAGGAAACTGAAATCTGAATCAAAGACCATACTCTACCTTCGCATATTATACTTCAACCAAACGCATAAAAATAACACGCCATCACTGTAAAATGTCTTCCAAATATTCGTAACTTCAACCCACGAGCATGAATGTTCCCTACCAGCAAAAGATGAAATATCCGAATTTATTATCATTATTAATCAGTGTGACAAAAACAATAACAATATGGTCATCGTCACGTCATGGATAAAATTTTGATTTTGTACTTACTAGATACCCATGAACAACTATCCAAAGGGGAAGCAATTCCAATGGAAGAACCACCGACTCTGTATTGATATGACACCCAAGCAACTCATACTCAAGAGGAAGTCAAAGACGAAACACCTACTTCGAAGAAAATCTAAATACAAGACCATCACCATTTGAGACAATAGTGTGAGAACTCGTGATCCTAGTGGAAGTGTCTTATGCAGGAAAGGATAGATATGAAATCGCAAGCGATGTTCATCATCAGGTTTTTCTTCTTCGTGACGGACAGATTCAAAAGGACAAAGATCCACAGGAGGCACTGTTTAGCGGAGACCGAGAGATGACAAGGACTACATTCGGTTGGAACAAGTACAGGAGAGGCCTAGAGAAAGGAGGCTGATCTGATGCACTTGCTTCATGATCTAGAGAGTTTTTAGACTTACAGACTGATCCAAAGCTGCGTTTTTAGACTTTTAGACCCCACGTCCACGTCGAAGTCCTGAACAATAAGAGTTTTTAGTCTTAGAGACCCCACGACGTCCTCGACAATAAGAGCACGAGATTCAAAATTGTTAGTCGTAATCTTTCAGAATTATAACGTTAAGCTGACCAGACCGTGCCTTCTGCAGAGACGATCCTTGAAGACGAGGGCCATTGCATTATTGAAAAGAACAAGAAGCATCAACAAAAAATGGCAGCTCAAGGTCCAGTTGCTTGCTCATGCAAGCTGACGTATTTTCCTATTGCGGGAGCCTGCGAGAAAGTTCGTCTTACATTTCACATGTGCGGTAAGGAATTCGAAGACAATCGTATCGCATTCAAATATGGCCGGTTTAAAGGTAGTGGTAGGTATCTTAGAACACTTAGACATCAACAAGATGAAACAAGTTAGTAGAAGTCTTGTCGTTCTGTTATCGTCATTTGAGACGAGTAGTTTGTAGTGCCAAGAAGTAATTTGTCAGAAGAAACAGAGCAACAGGATATCCTTCTACTCGATGATTATATGATGACTAGTTACTAGTACTTACGTAGTAAGTAGAGGAAGTGCCAGTGGACCAACGGTCTTCTTCTAACCTAAAGATTGGTCTAGTTTGAAGCCGTCTACACCCTATGGGCAGATACCGGTCCTGCAAATAACCTATGAGGATGGACGAGTGCATGAGTTTGCGCAATCTGGAGCAATGGTCACATGTTATGGCGAGTTGAAGAAGACAAACATATATTGTGATATAGAGTCGCATGGAACGAAGTAGAAGTTGTAGTTCTTAGTCTAACTGTTGGTAGTCCACTTCCACATCCTAGAGAGAAGATCTAACTCTTGGTCGTCCGAAATTTCGACACAACGCGAAAGTTGTATCCAGAACACGACATCGAGAAAGTCACACTGATCGAAGAGGTATAATACCTGGCATTGTTTGTGTTTTGGTAGACGAAGAACCATCAAAACCAGCTAAGTATAGTGTGATCTTTTAGAAATTGCTGAGGCTGAGGCACACACATGACAAGACCACCTAGTAGTTGTACCACGCATACTTAGTTTAGACTTAAAGCGATCCACATGATTACGATCATTCCTCCACTAGGTTCGCGGCCTCTCAGAGGATATGTACCGAGCTTGGGGACCGTCGCTGTATATGGGAATGGGCAGGCATCAAAATTTTGGTCATCCCGAAGACTGGCCAGCCAAAGACGAGACAGTGAAAATGCTCCGTGAAAAGTTCTTGGAAAATGTTATGGAGGCATAGAAGCACCCTTTGAATAGCAGGAAGAAGGACCTCATTTCTTGTTTTCTACTCCAACTGTTGAGGGCCTCCAACTTTCTTTCTACTCTCGGACGCCATCCGCCTCTAACACCAAGCTTCCGCGTTATTGTGGTTTTCTCAAAACCCATATGGAAAAGAACAATGGAGGTGCCGCAGATCAAGGCTTCCTTTGTGGTTCAGAAGTGACTATCGCAGACCTGATTTGGTTACCGCAATTGCGCTACTTCCAAGCTGGTATTGCAGATCATGTTATGCAGAATATTAAACTGAGATATTACTACAATGAATTTGTTCTGGACGACAAGTGTTTTTGTTGTTGTGCGGTCCGTCGGTCCGTCGCTCTGCTTATCAGTTTTGTAACACCAGCTTTTCTAATCCCTTGCCGAAGGACACACTCGATCGATTCCCGTGGATTACCAGCTGGATCAAGAGGATGATGGAGGTGCCGCAAATTAAAGCGTACTACGGTGCTTCATAGGTCGGAGGTTGACAACATCAAGAGATTAACATGCAAACGGAGGTAACACCGAACGGATTTCTCATCAAGATATCAACATGCATACGGAGGTACCACCAAAAGGACTAAGAACCTGAAGATCCACATCAAGGTGACGGTGACGCATCCCAACTTGTCACTGTCGCTATACTTCTTGTTAAGGAAAATAAGCTTCTTCATCTTCATCACCAGAACGGTGATCATGATGCTTCCTTTCTCTGTGTGCAGCATGAAGCCGAAGAAAAGACGTAGAGGCCGGAAGCTATGTCCTCGTCCGAAATCCTAAGCCTCTCGTTTAGATCATGAGGACAAGCATCGTCAAACGTTTTTACCTCCAAATCAAACCATCATAAGGCTAGTAAAGCACATTCATTTACATTTACATAACATTTTCATTTAGACCCAATCCCAAAAACTCGCACCCCACTAGATAACACATAACTACTCATACCCGATTGCTGCTTATCTTCTTGGTCAGTATCGGACGATACACTCCCCGTGATGCTGTAATATGAAAAAGCCAGTTTTTAACACTATCATGATTATGCCCCGACTAATTTATTTTTGCAATCACCACTTTTTACACTTAGGAACAGGGTCAGCTATTGATGCTCAACCTCTTGAACATGAACAAGATCGTGTAAATCAATGCTTTACACTCTTACTCTTTGGATTACAGAGTGCTATTTATTTTGCAATCTCTACTGAACGTCTTAAGCAAAGAACCATCAATCCTTTTCCTTCGAATCGGAAGTGATCCACACACTTCGAGAAGGTCTCACAAGGCAATATTAATGCCCACGGCGTGTTCACCTAGAATCGATCGGAGTAGCCGGAAAAGAGAAGGTTGGCGGACGAAAGAATCAATTTTCATTGTGTAGTGGCTTCCCCACCTTGTCACTCTACTCGGTCCCGGTTATGCACAGTCGGCAAGCTTTACAGATAGAAGATACTGATACTCACACTTGTCTTCTAAAAAGATGAAACATTTTGGCGCCAATTCTTGCCACTTCTAGACAGTAGGCTAATCACAGTCTCTGTTTGCGTCTTCCATCACCACCAGCAACAAAAAACATGACTGCGGACGATCGCACAGTGGTGATCGTCGGAGCTTCATCCAAGCACGATCAGGATGGTCAAGGAGATCTTCCGCCAGAAGCTCGATGGGGTTTGGGTGGCGCTCTTGCCCTGGCTTTTGCTAAGTTAAGCATCAATGGCAGTTTGACTGTGCGTTTTGAATCAGAGTTTCTTGAGCCAGTAGTTGGAACGCACTTCGTCCAGTTGAGATAATCTTTTCGTCCCCATTTTCAAATCTAACCAACGAAGGCTTCCACATTGTTCTCACGAGTCGACGCGTCTCGGTTTTAGAACAGCTAGCAGAAGAAGTTCGCAAACTCCAAGACCCGAAATATCAGACGATTTGCGTCAGCTGTGACGTGACACAAGACGATGCGGTACAGAAGGCTTTTGAAGAAACTATCAAGAGCTCTCTGCCAGCAACCGCCTTCATCGATTGCCTCATCTTCAACGCAAGTCCGGCTTTCCCTCCGAACTTTTCCTTTGGTCAGAGCGCGCCAAAAGCCCACGAACTCGATCCAGCTTACATGACGCATTCCTTCGATGTGAGTGTTAATGTTAAGGCACCTGCTTGTTTGTAAAGGAATTCATTTTATTGTCGCTGAAGATGTTCAGTAGCAGTTTTGTTACATCGATCTAGTAGAAGTTTTTTGTAAAAATGGTTGGAGCTGGAGGTTAAGTACGTCTTGTACAGGTTCATGTAATTCTAATTGTAAGAGCGATGTACATTTTACCCAGGCACGGCCACGAACAAAAATGTTGTGAATCTACCTAAGCATTCTCAATAGAATTCCGATTCTTCTAACACCCGGCTGATCCGCTGCCTCAAATACGTTATACCAGGAATGGAGGAAAGAAAGCGTGGCTGTATCCTGCTCTCGGGCGCAACTATGCAGTTACGCGGAGGCGCTAACTTCGCTGCTCTAGCACCTGGCAAAACAGCTCTCCGCAGTCTAGGTCAATCCATGTTCCAAGCCTATGGACCCCTTGGCATTCACGTATGCAATATCAACGTAGATGGCGTCATTGACTCCGCGAATACAAGGAAGTGGATGGGCGCGGAAAAATTGATGAAATGTGACGAAATCGCTCAGCAATACGTGGCGATGTATAAGCAACCTAAAACAGTGTGGTCATTTGAATTGCAGATTACGCCTGACTGGAGCGCGCCAACGGTGGGCATGAGGATGTGAATCAACCAGGTAGTTAGGTGTGAAGGATGTCTATTTTTATTCATATCGTGTCTCTGACGTTTTGCGAAGATGAAGAAACATGTTACCATGCATAAATATAAACATTTCTTCGGCGTTTACTCAACTTATGGACAGACGCCGCGTCTTGCTCTTGTTCAAAGACGTGCACCATAAGCGCAAGATGTGCTAGAGGACGTGCCACCACGGCAACCCGGTATGCACTCTAAAGAGGAGCTGCGTGTCAAGCATGCGATTTCAATCGGTCTCAGCGCGCCAGAATCAGTAGAAAGAGATAAAGTAAGAAAAATTTCGCTGTAAAGTGACAGCTCGTTGTGTGAAGCAGATGATCGGTCTCAACAAGCTCGGTTCATGTTGGGTGGAACCAAAGTACAACCAAATTGCTAGAAGTCGGTCAAGGGCGTATCACGTCTCAATAGCATGTTGTCCTTTCCTAGTATATACCTAGGCCTGCTCCATCACCTACCATCTCGCAATAGGCAGTCTTCATCAACGCCCAACTCTCCCGCCCCTTGCCATCCGAAACATGATGAGTTCAAGTATCTCGTAGTGTGAGAACGCATGAAGAACAAGGTAAGCTATAATTGCTATGCTCTAAGCATTGATTTAAGTTTATGAATCCTCCATCATTGATCACCATGATCACAAATGCAGAGGAGCACGCGTAGCAAAGAATGCTTAATACTACATCGCTTAGAAGTCTACTTTTTGTCGTTCTACAGCATGTGAACGCAGCTATACGACACGACCATCTATGGCTCTCTGTGCCCTTTTGTCCCTTGCGTTTCTGCATCCCGTAATGCTAATCTAACGGCGATTCGGAAATGGAAATGCCAGACAGCGAAGCAGAACTAGATGAAGCATTCACTGAAGTGTGTGACTAAGGAGGGGGTAACGTCGTGAACGTGATATCAAGAAGGACAAGGTCCCATCTTCTGATTATTTGGTGCGGCGCGTATAGCAATCCTGTGGGCAGAGGAAGAACGCAAACACAGGTGTGAGGTGGAGTAACAAGCGTGGATGTGGTGTAACCGGACGATGGTCATCGAAGAATATTAGCGCATCCCTCATCATCTAGTTCTAGCCGCGTTCGGTCTTTGAAATGCTACATCTTCTGCGTCTGTGATCGTCCTGCACCACTGCGAGCACAACTGACGCTACTTAGATTCTACTCGTCCTGTCGTTGCGGTTGCCTTCCAAAGAGTCCAGCAACAAGACCTCATCTTCAAGATGGAGCGTCTTTCAGCAAGTGCGGTCCGTCCTAGTGCGGAATCGCGCATAGAAAACGCGATGAAGCACCTGGAGAACCCGTTTTTGGTGGAGACGAGAGCGGATCTTTCACACGCCAAAGCACCAAGGCCAAGCAGCATCATGAAAATGGATGCAGCTTTCGTTGCAAACAGGCAGAAACTTTACATTATGGTTGGAAATCCGAATGATCTTCCTCTTCGTGGTTTTTAACGGTTCACTCTTCTGCGTGATCATGAGGAGAGACTTCTGGAGGATCCTGGCAGTGTCATTTTCATTTGATGAAGCCTCGCCACTTCACATCTTCAACATGTTGATTCATTTTCATCTCTTTAATACTCTGCTCAAGATATTTCTTACTCAAACTTTTCATCTCTTTAATACTCTCAACCTCAAGATACTTACTCAAACTGAAAGAACTCAACTTTTCCACTAGCTACTCTGGAGCGGCGCTCTCTAATGAGAATAAAGACGGTCAAGATCCTAACATCTTCGACCCCTTAGAACGAAAGCTGGATCCGAGGACGGCGCAAGAAGAAAGGGACTTCCTAACGAATGCAGCCAACGCTTTGCTTATGAAACAAAAAATTATAGCAATAGCAAGAATAGGAAGAGAACACTTTTATTTAGTATGAAAAATTATACTATGTTTTTGTTGAAGATATTACTTGTCTTACTGTTACACTTAGAAACAAATTATACTATGAAGATATTAGTTGTCTTACTGTTATACTTAGAAACCCTGCGATTACTTAATTTCAATTCCCGCTTTTCGACGAAATGAATGATACTGAAAGTAGGTTGATTGTTGATGCAAGATCTGATACTGAAAATTAGACTCGACAAGGGCTTTCCCTTCTTCATCTTTTGATGCATAAGTGGTCTTAACCAACCTCTTACTTTCGCTTTCCCTTGGACTACTACTAGCAGTACTGCTTCAACTAGCTACTTCTACTACCACATAGGAGGTGTTACAACTCTACTTACCTTAGTTGTTCTTAGGTGTTACAACTCTACTTACCTTACAGTTCTTGCTCTTCTTTATTTGCTTTCCTTCTTCATCTGCTTCCTCGGCCAAACCTTCCCCGTGGTAAACGAGGCTGGAACAAAGCTTCAGCGGGAAATGAACAAGATCGAGGATGGGGTGGTGACTATTAGGGCTCAACTTTCATTGGTCATAGAAGTTGGCCACTGAAATCGAAGAGGGTCCCCTTGAGATAACAGGGAAAAATGAAGGGAAAGGGGAGAGCCTTGGAGGGGGTCTCTTCCGTTCAGAGTCAGTGACCAGTGAAGGCTGAGCTTTAAGACTAGGATGGCCGACTTCTTGGAAGCTCAGAGGACCAAGTGGACAGAGGAAAAGATGACACTACACCAACAGTTGATAAGGCTTGATGTTAAAGCGGCATTGCCATTGCATTCTTGAGTAGTTGTTTCCTGGCTTTTTTATTGTTGTTGTTGTTTTCGAAACTGTTCCAATAGGAAAGAAGCAAGTCCGGGTGGATATTCCGAAGAATGCAAGTATGCCGCAGCCTCTAAAATTGGACTCGTACAAAACAACAGCGCAAACGGCTCTGCAGTCCCTTCAGGCATATCAACAGAGGATGAAGGACTTAGAAAACCTCAAGGAAGGGCGCGCACGCTCTGAGTCACTTGCGAAATTATGAGTCTACTTGGTGATGCGTTTTACTTTTATTCGTAGAGCTCTTGTTCATCTTTGTCGTAGAGATTGGAAGCGAGCGCCGTCTTTCAACACCTCCACGATTTTCTACTAGAGTGCTGCTCCGAAGAAAAAAACTATAATTTTGAATGAACTGCAGCGCTTGCTTCATCGGCAACATCTCCATCTTCTCGTCCTTTACCTTGATCTCTAATTTTGAATAAACTCTCTCCTCTAACAAAAGAGCTCAAACTGAAACTGGACGAACTGACTTTGGAACACGATGATTTGAGTCTGATAGTCCGACGCCACCAAGACGATGAAAATCCTCACTTAACCGAAATCAAGGAGGAACTTCTGATTGTCCGTGACGAACATTGGCTCAAGTTAGCGGAAGTACGTCAAAAAATCGATGCGGAGAAACAAGATTTTATGAAAGAATTCTCATTCCGTTTGTTGTTGTTCAACTTCAAACGCTACCGGAGCCGCTTGCAAAACTATGCTGATAAATGAGATGAATGCTAAGATTCTTAGAATGCTTGCATGGTTGGAAGTCCTCATGTACAAGCAATAGCGTGAACATCATCTTAGAAATAGTCCCAATGCAAAGTAAGGCAGGTCTTTTTGATTTCGATTAACAAGCCACAGGATCATGTGGATTCTTCTTGTTCATAATCCTGTCCACCGCCATGCAAGCTATGAAGGAGGAGAGAAGGCGGATTATAGAGCAGAATGATGCGAATATCTTCAAGCAGTCGGACGTCATCTACCGGTTAGACGTGGAACTTGCGAAAGCGATCGGAGAAATTGGGTTTTTGGTGGACGAAAATCGCGTGCTTGCTTATGGCGTGATGCTGATAGTTGTACTGGAACTAACACGGTCAAACCAGCGCTGCGATGAAGCAATGAACAAGATAGCGACGACAAGTCGTATCGATGAATACTGAATTATACTTCATCTAACACGAGGAAGTGCAAGTGGAAGATGAATACAGTAATCCAATTTTTACATACCCTGTTACTTCTAACACATCCAGCAGAACTATCGATTACGTATTAAAGTCGCGAATGCAGGTCTCAGGTTGCCACCAGACTTTTTTGCGGTCATAAGAAAGACTGACTCAGAGGCAGCGGAAGGACCACCACCTTTATGAAACAAGGATAAGGAAGATTTAGACTAATCCTGATGTATCCATATAATCAAGTGCGTTCTGGCACTTATCTCACGCTTAACTTGTTATTACAAGTGCGCGTCCATTAGTGTGTGCACAAGACCTAGTTGAGGGTTACTGCATTAGACTTCAAGCCCTCTACTTTGGCTGTCAGGCCTAGACTGATCTCTGCATGTCGACTGTCAACATGGTGTGATTAAAATTGGCATGAATTGCTTCTTAGAACAAGGAAGCCTAGAAAGCGCATTAAGTACTTCAAAGTAACTAAGCCTTGATGTGATTAGATTTAGAATTAGGTACTTAGAAGTAGAACTAGAACAAGTAAGTAGTTCAAGTCCAAATTCTAATACACGGCAGCGACGGGCAAGCTGGTGTCATGAGTGGAGGGATTGATGCCGAGGACGAGGAGCTGTTATGAAAATCAAAATGAGTTTGATTTTGAATAGGTGTACTCTTGTCATTGTCTCTGTATACTGAATAAAGTAGTGACATTTTTTTTTCGAATCTTCAACCAAGTGTTGATGGTTGTTGACATTGAAGTTGATAGTTCAACTATGGGTAACCACGTCTACTGTTCTGGTGACGTAGTAGATTCAGAAGATTCTTCGAGGTCTAAAAAGAGAAGATGATGGAGAGGAATGATCTGAAAGGCTCACGAGCGGACCTGCAAGGTTCTAGGGCCCTACTTCCTTCCGGTTCCGCGTGCGTCAGCGACGAAAAGGAGGGCGGACTCATGGAAAAGAACTTGCTGCAGGGTCACATGGAGCAGTGGAACTGCAAGGTGTAGAATCAACCTCGAGGAATTGGTGACTGCTATAGCCTTGGCCCATGCATGTAACATGTGATGAAGCTACTAGTATCCTAGTGCCAAGAAACAAGCTAAAAATCAGATATTTTTGATATCCCTGATTCCTTCTGTGAATTTGTTAGCGCATTAGTTGCGCTTGTCCGATTAAGTATTAATTTTCTCAGCAGGAGCATCTTGCTGCACAGCGTGCGATCACGACTCGTTATACAAAACAAGTGTTTGCTCACTAGAAATTGCATGAAAAAGGGATTTGCTGCCGAGCTTCACTATCCCCTCACAGGACTCTCTTACCTCCAGCCCAACAGACTACCACAAACATCTACATCACAAGCATGAAAATATCACACAAGAAGTGACTTCTTTTTAGTCTTGAAGAAAGACGATAGAATGTCCTCGTCTTCGAAGTCTGCTCTTGCCTCCACATCGTCAAGAATGAAGCTTCACCTTCTGGAGCAAGTCATTCGTCTGCCTCTGCTCTACTTGCTTTCTACCGCACCAAGCTTCGTGAGAAGTGCGTGTCCTGGAAATGGCGATGCTGGAAAGTGTATCGAAGAAGCCTACGATCCCGTCTTTTCGAACTACGGAGGCAACCGTAATGCCGCGTCTCATCTCTGGGTACTAGCACATCCCGCTTGTTTTTCCCCAAAGCCATATCCAAATTCGGCACTTGCAAATTATTCCATTGCTGAAATTGGAACAGCACCATCTCCTTCTGTTCCATTTCCATTTGATTTTTACCCATAAGGCCGATGATCAAACTATCAGGGACTATGTACTTATCTTGGACCACTTAGGAACAGGAGCTGATAGCCGAAAGCTTCTCAACCTCCTCAACAAGTTCGTTAAATCAATGCCTTACACTCTTTGGCTTTAAAGTTTCTTTACATACATTTACATACCCCCATACCTCAACCTCTTGCTCTAGCTCTTCACCTTGATGTTTTCCAGTTCGCCCACCTCTCGCAACTGTACGAAGCTGGCACAGTCAACAAGACTCGATTTCTAGAACTCAGTCGGAACTATTGCGCAGTTTCCGGTAGTCCTCTGAGCGGAGGTGGCGCCGAACTGGAGTGGACTAGTGTTATGACTTCCCCTAATCCATGTCTATACTAGGGACGATCCCTCAGCCGCAATCTTCTTCTTGTTTCTTGAATTTTTGTAGAATACCTAAGAGAAAAGGCGTGTCAAATTGATTCCGCGCGCAAGGGTTCTGGGTTGCGTGGGCTGCTTCGGTCTTTGTTCCTCTCCGTCATCTCGACGGCGGCCGCCAAACGGCGGGCGTTCCGTGCCTCAGTCGCTTCTTTTTGTTTTCTCTTAAGTTTCTACTCTGCCTGTGGCTGTGCTGTTACCAAGGAGGGGTCGCCCAAGGGGCGGCCCCGGTTTCTTGTTTCTACAATAGGGGCGATCCTATCAGCCACAGGGGTCTCCCTATATAAGGGAATATTCTTGCGGGATCTCCACAGGGATGAGCTAGGGATAGCTCTAATACGGGAGAAACAGTGGCGAGAAACAAGCTAATGAAAGTAGACGGGAGTTTGGCAATGAGTGGCTTCACACATCATTGCTGCTCACCATGTAAATGCGACATGGCGACGTATGTTAAGGCTCCGGATCAGCGTCGGCCTTTATCGCTCAATTGAGTAGACCCAGACTCAAATGCAACATATTATTTTGTGATTATAGAGAGTGAGACTGAGAGAGTTTCTAGATGAGAAGACCTCCAGGGCAGATGGACGACATGCGGCGCCTATAGAAGTTGGCGGATCCTAATATAAATTTAAATGGCCACTAGTAGTTTACTTTTTTACCTATAATGCTCATGCTGTAGCTTCAAATATTGACTTTCTTCTTTTTTGGTTCTTTCACAGTTAGGTTGGCTCCGCCACTGGTATAGAGTTACTTTTGGCGAATCTCGACCGAGAATTACAGATGAAAATCCTATACCGCTAATCTCTTCCGCGTAGACACAGCTACGGTAAAAGGAGAAACGATGAACGTCCTGGTCATACGAGACCCCTGTAACGCAAAAAAAGTACCTGCAAGCACGATTTGTGCAACAAGTAGAGAGGCAGAGGCTGCTGTTATGTTGGATAGATACTTTGGTCATTATAGATGTTTTTTCATGGTGATTGGAAGAAAAAATGCTGATACACTTACCGTTTTCCTCAACTGTTGCTGCTGATGAAGATGATGTCGCTGAAGATCGAGAATGCAACGCACACGTAGATTCTAGCGGAAAATTCAGGACGAGGACCGAGGACCGTAAATTCTCTAAAAGTACCTATACAGAAAGAGCAGCTGCAACGACTGAGGCCTCAGGCGTCTCCCTGGCGTCAGTATCCTCTCAGACGTCCTCCCAAGATGATGATACTTCTGTGCCTGCTCGCGCTTCTGATGAAAAAGGCGGTCCCCAAAAGCGAAGTCTTGTTAAACAATGGAGAAAGTCAGAGTTACCATCTGCAACCACCAGACGTCGCGTCAGTACTGGCTCCGGAGACCTGACCTGCAGCGAGATCTTCACCTCTTTGCAAGGAGAAGCACCAGCTATTCGATGTGATACCGCAAACAATAACAAACTGAAAGGCGCAAAATTTTCGGATAGTGGACATCCGATCATTGGAGTGCTTTTTCCCACGCAAATGCGAGGCACTCCAGCTGGAGGGCAATACACAGCAGCGCAATGGGATCAGGAAGCAGGATGTGAAGAATATGGAAAATACAGGGAAAAGATCGATTGAATTGTATCTTCATCTTGTTCAGATTTTTACTATAGTAGTGGTACAGGTACTAATTTAGTGTGCTTTTAATATAGGACCTCGCACTCGAACTCGTTTTCACACATTATAGCTACTCACTCATTGTCATTTGATAGTTGTCAATACTTAACGTTTCTAGACGCAGACGTAGACCGAGACATGATTCTTAAGTAGATTCTGCACCCTTCATCCCCCACGTACGTCATCTGCCAATGGCCAGTGCGCGGCGACTGGTATGGGAACGATCTTTATTCAAGCGGCTTGTCTCGGCTTTTCCGGTGTCACGGATACACAAGGCTGGAGTAAACCTGAAGAATGCAACAGCCAGTTCCTTTGCCAACAGGGTGTGCAATTCACTTCTAGTCTCGTAGAAACTGGAAGTAGAACGAGTACACGTGGAAGAACAAGTGGTCTTGGCACATCTTCTTCCCATACTATGGCCAGTTTCGCACACACTGGCAGAAAGCATGACGTTTTTCGTAGTACGCCTGCAAGGGCAGGTGCGCTTCTGAGAGGACGATCGACAGGAGACGACCGTTCTTTCATAGAGATTGCGTCAAGTTTTTTGGAAAATGTCAAACACAAAATCGTCGATTCGTCCTCGTCTTCGTTCTCTTCTGGTACTACTGGGACTGAGATGCCGATGAATATGAATGGTGTTAAGGAAGAACAACAAAGCGCTGCAAGTAGTGGAGGAGGCTCATCTTCCAAAGCCACTAGCGCCAACTCTGGTCAGCATGATCCAACTGCAACTGCTACGCCCGATGGCGGTTGGGAATTCATCCTTATGGGTCAAGCTACTCCCTAGTCGGGCTCAGGCCTATTCAAATAAGTAGAGGATCAAAGAAGTCGTGCAACTGCAAGCAGGAATCTTCTTCTCCGTAGATTAAGTAGGCTGCTCTAACATTTGTCGACGTATGGCCGGTTTGGATACTTATAGTTATATCCGTCGACAATTGGGTTTCGGAGGTTCCGCAACGACTACCACAACAACTCTGTTAATCGAGCTTCCGACGGGTTGCGGTCCAAGAGATAAGCGCTGCTTTAACCTGTTTAAAGCCACAACAGAACACGCAGTCAAGCAGCGCATAGTAGAACTCAGTATTGGAGCAGGAGGAAATCATGGAAGTAGCGATACCGCTAGATTCAACATCGATGACTACAACACATTCGACATTTTACCTCTAGGTAAAGAGGTGCAGAAGTACTTTCACTCGCAGGCAGCTTTTTCTTCCTCATCCTTGGCTCCTGGTGAACATCAGAAAATCAGCGGTCCTCTCAGCGACCATGACGGAACTACCTCTTCCCCATCTTTAGAAGCCTCATTTCCATCTGCCTACATCCTCCTGGCCATGCTGTTGATTACGGCGGTGGCAGTACGCAGGGTCTGGTCGTCTGGTGCGCGTATGCTAAGTAAGAACAACAGAGGTCGTGGAGCAATAACCTCACAAAGCAACATAGAAGAAGATGCTATGCAGACCACAACCACATCAAATCAGACGAATACTACTAGAGTTTCTTGCGACTCATCCATAGACAGCGGATCATCAGTCGGGAGTGAGGGTCAAGGGCGGAGGAGCTTTCGAACGCTGATTGGGGCGAGGCCGTAAGTGGGTTTTTCGAACACGCGGTCACAGTATGTTTTTTTGTAGAAAGAAAACTGAAATATTTATAGGAATAACCATCAGAAATATTTCGGAAAAAGATAAATTGATCATGGTATTTCGTTTGGAGGGATCATATGTACAATTTCACTCTTTTTTTTCGTCAAACATCAAATAAAAGCAATGCACATAGTCCGTGTAGATCTAGTAGAGCAGTGAAGCTGAGAAGTAGTTGTTGCTTTTTTGAAGATCATTCCTTCATCCATGTGGTTCTTTGTACAAAACTCGTTGGGATAGAAGTCAGAGATGCTGGTAAACGTCAACCTTTTACCCGATATCGTGTGCCGTAGCCGTTATCTCTGTAATATAGATTTAGATACATAATCAGAAATAAATTCTCGAGAAGAACCTCCGATCGTCCTTGAGGACCTCTTTTTCCAAGAAATATCTATATCACCCGTATACAGTTATCCCGTACAACAGTCCCGCGATGAGAAGTACTAGAAACCGAAGCAGATTGAGTAACCTGATTGTTCACTGTCAGGGAAGAACTACACCACGCAACAGGATGCACTCTCGTGCTTCACTTCATTTTCGATGCTGGATCTTCTCATAACTTCCGACTCGTAGTGGTTTGTGTTGTGAATGTGTTGAGAAGGTAAGTACACGAAGGCTAATAAGACCCCTTTACTACTCGCAAAAAGTAGAACACAGAGGTACCATGACATGACATGACCAACAACTTAATTATAGCGGATTCGTTTGATGTCGGTCTGGCGGCCTCTAGTATATTTATCGGTTAGTACCCCACACTTGCTACACTCGGTAACACACGGCTATCCTCATGATTTAGTCGGTTGCTATCCTCTGTACGAGATCATGGAGATAAGAAAGCGTTCGGACAACATAGGTCCGGTTTTATCGGTAATCTTCCAGAATAAGACATCGAGAAGATGTGATCCACCCGGCAAGTAGAGAATAGGTAATGTTGACAGCGATACCCGATTAATAACGCGATCCGCCCCCGACCTACTCCACGCACTAACACCGAACCTAGCAAAATCGTTTTGCAATGGCCTCCTTACCAGTTTCAACATCCAAAGCTAAAGCAACATGATTCTAAGCGATCTACTTATGCTTCTCTTAGGGACGAATGCGTGTGGAGTTTAAGAAGTTAGTTTTTTTTTAACAATTTGATCTTGCTGCCTTGCAGTCTGACAACTACAACATCTCGATCTTCTTCTTTCTCCCATTGTTTGGACCATTTTTTTGCGTCTTTTGGTGTTGTTACTGGAGTCTAGACAACCAAGAAGAGGCTACAAGAAAAGGCTCCTAGTACCAAAATGATTTCATTTCGACAATTGCACTAGCGACACCCTGCCATGGTATCTTGCAACAGAGGCTCGCATACCCCAGCAGGACGTGATTGATGACGTTTTCCTTCCGACGTCGATTGTGCAGGTCGTAAACGTCTAATACACCAACACCTGGCAAGAACAACATCAACACGATGGACACAGCATTCGCGGATTTTACGCGGATTGCGCCGCCGCCACCCAAGAAGGAGAAGCGGAAGACGAGCCACGATGTCCTTGTTCGAAACCCCTTCATGAAGGAGTTCAAGTTATGCTGGCGGAATGCAAACCACTTAGAAATAACTGTAGTTTTTTCTAGTTCGTTTTCTTCTGAATATTTAAATTTATTTCCTGTTTCTTATCCTTGCACAACTTGCTCTACGTCTACTTGCAATGGGTAGAAAGAAGCATATTTAGTGTTCCTCTAGCTCTATCTCTTTCCTCACTAGGCGCGCGTCCTCCTTCTTGTTGCCTACCTACTAGTACTGAGTATGTCTCGCCTGCTCCACACTGAATCTGAATTCTCCTCTAACGGTCGCTTCTGACGCGGGTGCTTTTGATTTTCCGAAATGGAGCGACGATGGCCCCCTGGGGGATGCGGCAGAAGCCGCCATGCTTTTTGGCTCGAAACCGGATGGAAAGCGGGCGATGAGTCAACATGCTGGAACGAAACTACTTGAGCAAATGGACACTTTGGAGGATGAATTGGTTGTCCGTCTGGCTGAGATGTTGGAGAATATTCGAAGCAAATTTGCAGCAGAGAAAAACGACTTGGCGAAAGTTATGATGTAATGTAGTGTAATCATGATTGTTCACATGCGTTTTCTTCAATGAACTCAAAAAGATGCGGTCTGATTTGACAGGACGCCTTCTACATGAAAACTGGACACCTTCACTTCAAATTGAACACGACGAGGAACAACTCTAGCACCACTTGCATAGAAATCACTTCGATTATTTTTGCGTACAGTAGTCTGATCCAAATCCAAAAACCTACAAGTACAACCGATAATTCTAATCTCCACGTCGAGCGATACGCGAGAATCGAAAGAGAAGCAGCTGCGACAGCGAAGGAATATGATAAGCGCTTGCTGCCAATGGACAAGTTTGCTTTCGAAAAAAAAGAATTCGATATGGCGATTGAAACTTTTCAGGTATATTCGATGCATAGATTTGAAGAGTTATATTTTGGTTTCGTAGTCTTAGTGTCGTAGTCGGTCTGGTCTTACGTTTTACCGTTCATTCCAAAATGTTTTCCAAGCATACTGCACACGCCCTGATGAAGAGCTATACGACCCTTTTGCATGCCTGCTACAGAATCTCAAATGTTTTTCCATTTTTGACAATACTAACTAATCATTGATGCAATCAAAGTGTATGTTGATGCACCAACAAGCAACCAACATTCACCTCGAAAGGCCCGACTCCAACAAGTCGAGAAGCAAAAGGAAGAACTAATCGTAATTCTGGATACCTATCAGAATGGGCATATGCCGCGTGTTGACGCGGCGATGGAGGAATTGGAGCAATTTCGAGGCGAGCATGAACAGATTTTGAATGTTAGGATGTGAAGATGGGTGCTGGTCGTCGTATTTGCAATATTTTAGATCGTATATTACAAGACCTAAGTACAAGTTGAAAAATCCTGTTCGAGGATTGTCACGTGCTGCAACTGGTGCACACTCGCACTCTAAACTTCAGACGAACAGAATGCTCGAAGGGGAGAAGCGAGCCATGCTACAGGGATTAGAAGCTTTGCGGCAAGAGAAAATAGACATCATGGAAAGGGATGACGAAACCGTTTTCCGGCAGATGGAGATTATCAGTAAGATGGATACGGAATTTTATGGCAAGAGGCTCATAGTACTGGTAATTCATCCCAACAGGAGAGCACTACAGATGAAACAGATCATCGCGGCCGCTTCCTTGTTATTTCTGGTAATATGCAAGTCCATCTACTACTTGGGCACTTTTTCTCATTGAAAAAATGATGACCACTAGAACCTAAGTCTGGAGATGAAGATGTTGAAATTGGACATCATCTATCTCTAGTATTGCGACCACGACCTGCACCTCTTCTGTACCTGTTTCTAACCCGGGGCAAAAGCTATCGGGGAAGTGAGCTATCTCACGCACGATCACACATCGCTTTGTGGACAGAACGAAGCGCTACGACAGCTGTTGGCTCAGAACGGAATCGATGTACCTGAGTACTTGATCGGCAAAGGAACACGAAGATTCAATTAAGGCTCGATCCGATTGCGAAAAAATAGATGAAGAAGATTAGATTTAATAGATCAAATCAATAGATTTGTACTAATAACGTTGGTTTTCTATTTCTTTCTGTTTGATTGACACCAGCAGAGTATCTTTTTTTATGAAGTCCTCGGGTTCTTGGTCTTCTTTGGTCAGTCATCCTCGGTTCAAGTCATCACTTCTACCAACGGCCACTTTCTTCTTCTTCCTTCTTAGGGGAACGGTCATGCATTCTCTTCTGTAGTTTGCTTCTTGGAACGATTGCGAAGAAACGATGGGAAGAAGTGAAGATTTTCTTTTCTTGCTTCCTCCTTTCTTAGGATAATTCTAATGTTCACCAGAATCGCATCAATCAGACGCGAAGATACATTCCTCTGCCAATGGATATCGTCAAGAGGATTTGCTATGGCTTCCTGTAATATTTCGACCTCAACATAGTGCTCCTCCTCGTCGTCAAGCATCATGAGGTGAACAAGGCGTTCACTTGCGAGCTTCATCATTACATATTCGTGTTGATAAGACTTTTACTTTACTACTACCTAGGAGTAGGACAACTAGCTCAAGCCTCCTGACAGGGCCAGAGCGTGCACGACTACAAACTAGTACTGTACTGCTTAACTTGTACAACTCCTTTCCGAAAGTTTATGTAAGTACAACATGTTTCATCATGTAGTACGCAGAGGACTAACTAGATACTTCTACTTCTTTGTTTACGGAGACAACTAACATATACATAGACAGACTCAGACATCTACTTGAAGAAGTCTTCTTCTAACCCTTGGCAGTGAGGTGGATTTGGGTGCGCTGGCGGTGAATGAACCCGTCGAGGAGGAAGAGGTGATGTCCGATGCCGATGTAGAGGATGACAGCATGGATGATGACGAAGCCGGTTTGTCACAAAGTCAAGCAAGAATCATGGAATTCTTATGGCTTCATGGGTTCGTTTAGGGTTTAGGGTGTAGTGCTGAAGAAGATTACTGTGATTTTACTCATTCTTCTCATGATCTCATGATACTGTTACTGACTCTTACACTTGTTACTCTCCTCATAATATAACACTTTCGAATTGGTGTCCTCCATTGTGGGGTTGTACAACCCAGACTTCTCTAATGCCTGACGCAGATGATTTTCCAGAAGATACAGATGCTGAGGACGACTTTTCTCATGCTGCTTTTGCTGCCCCCTTAGGGTTCGGGTGGTGGGGTCAGCTCATGGCGTGGGTCATAAAATTACGACTGCTGCTGGCTAATATTTATATCCAACTAGAACTACTCTAGGACGTCGGTGGTCTTGCAGACATATTAACTACCACTTCTACTGCTTGTGCTCCATCACACTTTTGTTGTAGCTCCTTTATGGGGTCTTATCGCAGCTCTACTACAAGAAGATTTGAATTTTCTATACCTCCAAACCGCGAGCGCAATACTCGACGAACTACCCGTAAAACCCTCTATTCTAACGAAACTGCTGCAAGGGGTGAAACTTCCTCCAGTGGGGACAAAAACGCCCTATGGTTTAGGCTGTCGAAGTATGAAAATTGGATTCACTTTTCAGGACAATCCGGAGACGGAGGTTTTTGTCGCAGATTACTACGCCAGGATGACAGATGACATCAGGAAAGCCACATCTATTGACGAAAACTCATCCTGGATGACGAAGGAAGTCACATGTATTTTGTCCTTCTTTAGATGTATTTTTGTTCCTTGTTGCTTCTGAGGACGTGGGTGCCGATGAAGGGAATAACCTGTACTTTTTTTATCGTCTAAGTTTGTGCATTCTACGTAGGTGGAGGAAGTTCAAGAACGACTACTTTTCACTTGTTCTACAACCCAAGATATGTCATAGATTAAGGCAGTCTTCACTGTACTACCTGGTGCGAGATTCGTTGTATTGTATTGTATCTCTATCTATTGTATTGTGTCGTATCTACCGTTGTATTGTATATATAATTGTATTGTATGAAGATGTCATATTAGCTGTGTGTCACATATTACTCGGTAAAAAAGGGTAGTTCGCTGCAGCTTGTTCAACCTCCACTTCCACAAGCTCCACAACAACAATGAATGCTACGGACGACGACACCACCTTTTTCACTCACCTCTATAACCACTTCTACAGGTAAGGAGATGAGAGCTGCAGAAACCGATGAGGGTGGACTGAGAATGTGGACGCCAGATGGGCACGTTCTCTTCTGCAAAACCAGTGGACACTTCATGCGACCATTTCTTTAAGGACAGAACGACAAGTAATTTTTTGGTAATTGTTTTTTTACATGATACGACGGAGACGGACGATAGAATGGCCATCGTCTCTAATATCTTCTTGCCGAAATAAGTTACTACAAGTAGACAATCTTGCATATTATCGACGTAGACTACACTGATATGGCTACAACATTGCGCTCATCTCAGAGGTGATCTCTCGTCTTCCCTACTGATGCTCCGAATCTAATCCACAGAAACAGACTTCTATCCGAAGTACGTAAAGCACATGCAGGAAAACGGAAAGCAGACCTTCTTGATCCACTTCTACTACTTTCTCAAGGTCCACGTACCGGAATTCGATCACGAGTGTTGTTTTGTGGTGACAAACCATCCAGCTGGAACCGCGATGATCGCAGGAAATGGACCAGGACAAGCAGGAAAACTACTTGCGGAGCATCAATTTCTACTCCGTGGAAAAAAAGCAGAAAATTATGACTGTTACTTTCTTGGTTGGAGGTTCCTGTTCTTCTATAGTACACGCAAATCAGCTTACTTCTTATACATAGTTTTTGCTGCTCAATCATGGCTGTAATAAATCTTCCTCGCTGGAATCATAAAAGTACAACCAATCTATACGCATACCTAGTAAAAACTTTGCTCAAAAACAGATGGATATCCCACAATTTCTACTCATCCACCTACTCCTCTTCTCCTCCTTCATCTTCGCGCGGGCCGCAACAGGCGTTTACATCCGCATGCTTTGCTAGATGCCGATTTCCAAGACCAGTTTAAACATTTCCAAGATTTTCATTCAGAGAATGAACTAGAAGGAATGCTGAGGGCTTTGATTAAGGCTAGTACCGTTAAACGAGCTGGTTGTACTAACTAACCTAGATTAAGTAGATACTTGGCAAGTCCAAGTCCTTGAATCTTCTTTTTCTATAGTTGAAAAAGAAGCACCCACGGATGCTCCATAATCCTTGAAACTTCTTTTTCTATAGTTTTGTTCGTAAGATGAAGCCGAAGCCCCACCCAAACCCAAAGGATAAAAATCTCATGACTCTCAAATCAAAGAGAGCAAAGTCAGAGGCGCGTCTTATACGATACTAGCTCTAATTTGAACGACGACATAGATTTCCTAGAGCAAACTGCAATGAGGGTTGGTTACGGCGCAGTCGTTTGCTTCGTAGAGCTGGACCCAGATGAGGAACGAGCTCGTATGAAGGCCACGGACGCAAAGAAACAGGAGAAACTTTATGATTTTTCAGGTTCATGCGGTATGAACTCAAAATACTCAACATACATTATCTGGTACTCCAAACATCATTTGTCTGTATAATATTATACTTGATGTAGTAATTCTTGTACTGCTTGCGCAACAAGCTCAAGGTTAAGCATGCCTGCTAAGAAAGACTCACACCAGCGACGACGATCACTCTCAACACAGCTTCAATCGTCCTCCTCTGCAACTCCATCTCCATCTATGTAGCTGATCCTCTCCATCCCCATCTCAGCATCAACATCAACATCACTCTATTTTTAGATTTTTCTACGACCGTCAAGCTTTTACTCCCTATTAGAGTCTAATCCCTCCACGGTCGTAGGGTATTTGCGAATCGGTTGGTTCAGCATGGCACAGTTGCCTGCGACGGAAACGACCACAAGACGTGGGCTATTGTCATTGCCTTGCAAGATCTCTACATGTTAAGGCTTGCCGTCGCCGTAATTCATCCTACATAAGAGACATCAAAAATCTTCGTTACGTTTTGTTTTCAAGGGTAAACCAGGAAATCATCCTAAATATTGAAGACGAAGACGAAGAGGTATAAAAATGATAATATTTGACCACGTAACTACTGTTTATTTGCAAGAGAAGAAAAACCAAGACCAACGGTCAAAGAAAACTTCCAAGATGAATTTAGCTAAAAAAAGCCTCTAAGTAGGGCAGCGAAGACACCAGAACTTGCTACAGGCTACGCCGATGCTTTTTCCGTTGCTTTAGATCTTATGGCCTTGGCTTCGTGCTTGTAGGATGAATAGAAGAACCGCGAGACGTCCATATCGTCCAAATAGAAATCCCTCCAATTATTATTCCAATGCCTATACAGTATTCACCTCCTTGCCTCTACTGCTTTGAATTCCTTTTCCTTCTGCTTCTTTATGAAAAGAACATCTGTTATCATTATCATATTTTTCTTCTCCAGAAACTTGATAATGATAGCTACAGACTTAAATAATCTCTTCATTTGATTCTTCTTTCTTCTAATAGGAGCTACTTTTTGACGAGAGAGCGACTCGAGAAACTAGAGGTTGGCGCGACTACAGACGACACGCCAGAGGACGATGGAATCATGTTGGAGGAAGAGGCGGTCGAGGAGGCAATCTTATGGGATAGCAGAACTGTCGTATTTGTACTCGTTATATTCGAAGTGGAAGTCTTGAAATAACCAAATTTTGATCATCCTATACAAGATGAATGGTTCTGGTATTTTTGGTATAGCCTGAATTTGATCATAAGGGAAAACAAGAAGAGAACCCTTAGGATCAAATTCAGGCTATACCAAAAATACCAGAACCATACACAAGAACACTGATCCGCTATCTTCATATTGATCCGCTACATTCATTTTTATCGAGGACTTGCTAAGTATGAACCGAGTTGCTAACTGAAATAAGGGAGATAGCTTTGACAGGGCTACTCTTTCCTTGTTGTTGTTCAGTATCTTGGTTATAATTCTGATCAGTTGCTTATTTCAGTTTATCGAATATTCATCTTGATTTTCATCCTATACGTTTGATGCGCATACTGTTCCTCAATAGAAGTTGCTATTAAAAATTTCCATTTCCTGTTTTTGTTGAGCACAGACAGTGACAGTGGAGAAAAAAAGGTAGATGTAGCCACGACCTTCGATGCTAGTACATCATGCGATGGCTGCTCTCTTCTAACACCTGAAGAAATCCTTGAAGAGGAGTTTACCGAAGAAATCGAAGATGAGGAAGACGACCAAGAACCTCAACAAAGAAATCAGAGCCCTGGCCAGATCACGATTACGATCACGACTGAGGAAGAGGAGGAAGAAGAAGAGTACGAAGACTAAGAAGGATGACACGAAGAAAAAGAGGAAGGACGACAACGCTACACGTGACTTGAAGAAGAAGAAGAACAAGAGGCAGATCATGAAGCTACAGGTCTAAAGAAGAGGAACAAGAAGCAGAATTTCGACAACTGCGTTTTTTTTTGATGAACGGAACGTTATTAAGTTAGTATCTACTAGTACTAGAGGCTTGTACAACTTGCTTTCTTCCAAGAAGTCGCCCTAGTAAAAGAAACCTTGATGACATCATCATTGATTTGTACAAGCTTGCACAGGTGGAGGTGAACCAAGAAAATGAAGTAAGAGGGGGCGAAGGAATATTTACTACGATTGAGACACTGAATTGCGCCCGTCGTGCAGTGTTCCCCATTGTAATCATGCCTCAAGAAATAGAAAGACTTGGACGTGTGTTTTGCTGAAACTCAACAAATATATGAGTCATCGTGCTGCTAATGCCTAAGTAGGCATGCTTGCTAGAAGACAGGAGAACAAGATGTATAGAGAAAAAAGAGCCATGTCCATGACACAATAGAAGTTCATCAAGAAACACAACCATGAAGACGAACAAGATGAGCGCTCCTCCTACTGCTACATCTAACTCGATTCCTGGACTGTTGTCCGTATTTGGCGTATTACGAATTGGTAAACGCAAAGTCCTTGCGCTAGAAGACTTGCCGGACGCGCCAACCTACCACGATGAGTACACTCGATTTCGCCGCTTATGGACTGTCAAGGGGAGGAGAACATCTCGCGTCCTCTGGACGATGTATTCTTACGGCTTCATCCACTTGCACAGTTGATAGTGAAATATTTCAACATCATGTCCCTCAAATTCATTATCATTTACATTTAGCACCAAGAAAAGGATGTTCACTGCTAGTATGAACCAATATGTTTATGTTGTATGCATGAAATAGGAATACGATACGAGTACAATAATCCGATCTGTAGCTGCAAAAATTCACATTTCTAACGTTCGAGACGCGCCTTCGTTGCAATGTTTGTTTACGTCTTGGGCTATACTCTACCCGTTTTCATCGGCCCTTTATGCCTACAGGGCATGCTGAGGGAGTTGGGTGGAAAGCAAAATGCTTTGCGCGATGTGGACTTCATGCGATGCGCAGAGGCGGAAGACGATGTGGGGAGCTGTTCTTGGTATTTCGATGTTTTTTAGTCCTTGAGTTTCTTTGATGATGTTGATCTAAATACGTATATTTTCGTAGTTCAAGTTGGTCTTGGTTACAGCACTTCGAAGACCAAACAGTCTTTGCTGATAGTCAGTGAAGACAGGCATGCTAGAGAACAACATGCAAATTCGCTGCCATCATCTAGATCGTCTCTCATCTCGCTTGCATCAGGCAATACGCGTACCTGCTGATCCTGTTGAATTTCGTTTCTGTTCCCTGTAGCACGTTTGCTGAATACTTGATGACGGAGGTCGGGTTGAGCATCAGAGCCATTCTGTCGATTGCGGTGTACGATGTCACGTGTCTTGAACTAGCCGCTCATGTGACTGACCCTGCAAAGGACTTGAATCTCATCGCGCAAGTATGACGTGACAGGAAATATTGTACTCATACTCAAGAAAAACGGTAGCTTCCTTCATCATACTCAAGAAAAACGGCGACGTTTCTTGAGAACAATGAATGAGTACGCTTTTTCCTTTCATACCAAGACGCCCAACGCTTCATCGAGTTTACGCTTCTGGCACCACGTTTCCTCACAGCTCCTATCCTCATCGTAGCTGGGATTGTCTACATCTATGTGTTGATCGGTCCTGCTGTATTGGCTGGCCTAGCTTTGCTTCTAGGTGTGTTGCCGATCACAGCTAGGATTGCCAAGCACATGCGACGATTGAGTGGGGAGAAGATGAAAGCTGCTGACGTTAAGGCTTGCCGTACTGGTAATTCCTCTCTTCAAGAAGCATGATCTCCTATTGTAAATACGTGTTCAAGGGAAATATTAGAGCACGTCGGAGATGACATCCTTCCGAGATCAATTTGAATCTACTAGGCCGCATCTAATGATGAGCGCGTAAGCTACATCTCCGAAGTGATTGATGGTATGAAAGTCGTCAAAAGTGCAGCATGGGAAACAGCTATGCTAGAGGAAGTAGAACGAAAGCGATCAGTGGAACTCGATAAACTCCTTTCGTTTGCGATCTATAATTATGGCTCGACCTAATTCATTTCCAACGGTCAAGGTCATCTTCTTCGGTTTTCTTATTGAAATTCCGAAGAAATTGAAATGAAGACAAGAAATAAATTGCTTTGCGCTCTAATATGGAGCTATTGCTGCACCTATCGCCATCACTGTGCCAACCATGGCCTCCGTTGCTATTTTTCTCGCCTATGCAACGTACTCAGATAGCGTCAGTGCGAGCGACGCGTTTCCGGTGGTGGCGATGCTGGCAGTTATCAGACCCGCGTTTGTAACGTTGCCTTTGGGCTTGAGCTTGTTTGTGCAAGTCTTGGCGAGTTTGAGAAGGTACGACACGTTCTTGATGAGGGAGAAGATTAGTGATACTGCTTTTTCCGGAGAGGTTGGAGAAGATGAAGACGGGCAGACCACGGAGAGTAACTACAGACATCTTGCTGATGAGAAACAACAGAACATTGTTCTCAATGGTTCTTTCAGTTGGCACACGAAAAATGAGGAAGAACAAGAAGTAGTTGCGCAAGAGCATGACTCTATTCCAGATCCCGGTGCCGCGTCGCCAAGTAAAGCTGCAGATGCAGCTGAGGTCAACTCCCCAGCGTCACCAAGTGCAAGCTCCGTCGCCTCTCAGGCTTACCAACTCCAGTGTTCGAACATCAACATTCAAATTGGCGCTATTACAGCTATCGTAGGACCAGTTGGTAGTGGGAAAACAGCTCTGCTAGGTGCGTTGTTGGGTGAGATGAGACGAGAGGAGCAAGAGGATCCTCGTGTTCAAGAACATTCATCAGAAAGCGATCGGCTTTTGCGGTCTCGCCAAGTCGCCTACTGCTCTCAAACTGCCTTTCTCCAACATATGTCCGTGCGTGACAACATCCTCTTCACATCGGAACTTTATGGAGAATGTAAGTAGCTTTTTCCATTTAGCGGATCGTGCACTTCCACTATGCATCCGTATAAATGTCTACTTCATCATGAGTTTGGTCGTTGATTCTTGGATGGAAGAAAAAGCTACGTATCTCTCTTCATACCATCGACGCCGACTGGTACGCTTTCGTGGTCCGTCTCTCTTGCCTTGAGGAAGATTTTACGCAATTTCCCAACGGTGATCTCACCGAGGTTGGTGAACGTGGCATCACTCTGTCTGGTGGCCAGAAAACACGTCTGGCACTCGCTCGAGCCTTGTACAAGCGAGCTCCCATAGTAATGCTGGACGATGTCTTTAGTGCGTGGGATATCCACGTTACGGCTAAGGTCTACGCTGGTTTGAAAGTCTACAACATGGTCACGAAGAGTACAATACTGTTGGCGACGCATAATGAGGGACTGTTGTATAGGAACGTGGAAGAGCAATATCAACAAGCAGGTATCATGGATCATACGGATAGCACCGGTGCCGCAAGGACCACTATGGACCCCTGTATCCATCAAGTCTTGCAGGTAACACCGACAGGAAAGGTGACAGCATTGTCGAACGAGAACTTTGACGTGTCATCCTATACGCAGACGAGCGAATACAAGAAGACAATGGTAAAACTTCAGGCTAGTAGAGGAACTGTTGCTGATGAGGGGATGCATCCTACCGGAGTTGCAGAATCCGGCAAAAGTCCTCCACCTACACCATGTGCGAAAAACGATCAAGAAAAGACAAATGCAAATTCTAACGATGAATATATCTACAAGGAGCTGCCGACTGAAAGTCCAACAAAGCAAGTGGTGCTGCATATCGAGGACAAAAATGGAGTAGCGAAAGAGAGCGAAGAACAAGCATCACCATCTTCTAGAAGAATATCTCCTACACCACCACCTACGTCAGTTATAAAACCAGACCAACAACAAGAACAACTCGTAGAGGCTGAGACAAAGGAGGAAGGCGCTGTATCCTTGAGGATTTGGGCCATCTACTTGCTAAGCGGCAACAGTTCTTTCACTGCTACTGTGTTGTTTCTTTTCTCGTTCGTTATCGCTGAAGCAGGATACGTTGCGATCGATCTTTGGCTGGCGCAATGGTCCAGCGACACGTTCAAAGAGTCAGAGGCGTTTTACTTGGCTTTTTACGCTTTGATCGCATTTCTGTACCTCGCTGCGCAATTAGGAAGGTCGATTTGGATGGCCTACTTTGGGTACAGGTCTGGACGAAATTTGCATATGAGAATGATCTTTTCGTTATTCTTTGCGCCGTATCAGTTCTTCGAAAAGACGCCGTCGGGAAGGATTCTGACGCGTGTAGCAAAGTTGAGGGTAGGTTAAAGGTGTTTATGTTGCCGTTCGTTTTGCCTTTCTGAAGGAGGAAATATGGCATAACGAACGGGGTACACGAACACCAAGAGCCTACCTCTAACAAAGGACACAAACGATTTGGATTTGATGCTGCCCGATCGACTACAATTTCTGTTGATGTGTGGAATGCGCGTTTTGAGCATTCTGATTGTCATTTCCGCGACGAGTTACATCTTTCTGGTCTTCCTCTTCTGCGTCGCGGTGTTGTATTACTACCTGACGTACTACTACCGCTGCAGCAGTACGAACTTGCAACGACTGGAAGCACTGACCCGTGGCCCGATGACCAGCAAACTCACAGAACTGTCGGCGCAAGGTTTGGTCACTGTGAGGGCTTTTCGCGTTCAGGAGACGTTTTCTCGCGACTTCAGAGACCTCTTGCGCGCGAACAATCGGGCATTTCAGACACAAAGGCTGTTGGAGTTGTGGTTGACGGCTGTGTTGATGTTCCTGGGTGCCATGGTGATTGGAGGAAGCTGTCTGTCTTAAGGCGTGGTTTTGTGTAGTTGCATTCTCCAAGTTCTAGTAAATGGTCTCTCTTTATTTCAATAAATTTAAGTACATCTTCACCTGAGACACCTTCGCCTATCACACATGATTGTTGTATGCAACAGGAGCCAACTACTCTCTGCAAACCCTAACCATCGCTCCTCATCCTCCACGCCCAATCTCCCCTGAGTGCAGGGATGATCGGACTCGCCATTTCGATGTCTTTTAACATCATCATCAACATGAACATGGTCGCAAAATCCATCGTCCAAGTCGAGGCACAATTGAATGCAGTGGAACGAATGTACGACTACTCACAACTGCCTATAGAGGATGCACAGTTTCCGCCATATGGACAGTTTAGGAGAGGACAGTTGCATCAACCACAGGAAAGCAGATTAGCTGCAGCAACGAGCAACAGCAAAGCTAATGTTAAAGACGAATTACCTCCTCTCGGAGATCTATTCCTGGAGCCACACCTTATCAAGAAAGGTGAAGTTGACTCGGCTCCGACATGTCATTTCAAGGACAATTCGATCCGCTTCGACCGCTGTGAGCTCATCTATCGTCCTGGGCTGCCACCCGCAGTCAAAGATTTTTCCATCGAGATCCAAGCAGGAGAATGCGTTGGCATTTGTGGCCGTACTGGCAGTGGCAAGAGTTCGCTCTACAGCATGCTATTGCGTCTGGTTCCACTATCAGGAGGTCAAATTTTCGTCGGCGAGAACGACATTGCGACAATTCCATTGGAGCGTTTGAGGTCCTTTATCACTGTCATTCCTCAAGATCCTGTGCTTTTCTCTGGAACTGTTCGAAGCAACGTGGACGTCTTTGGCGTGCACTCGGATGAAGCGGTGTGGCGAGCAATGCAACTGGCGCAACTAGAAAACACAGTCTCAGCTCTGCCTGATCAGTTGAAAGCGAAAGTATCAGCCAACGGGAGTAATTGGTCACAGGGTGAACGCCAGTTGTTGTGTTTGGCAAGAGCGATTTTGGCACTGGAAGGTGAAAGGAAGGAAATGGAAGGGAGTTATGTGTGGAGCGCTACCTAGTAGTTGATCTTGATGCTTATTAGTAATTATTCATTGGAATGCTACTGGTACTTGTCTCAATCTCATCTCCACAAACTTTTCTCTTTCTTTCCGACCATCACCATCTCCTCTAACAATCTCTTGCTCATCATCAACACTCTGGTAAAATCCTCCTTCTCGACGAGGCAACCGCCGTCATCGACCGAGCGACCGATGAGAAGGTGCAGCAATGTCTAAGATCTGAGGTTTTTAGGAAACATACTAGAGTCATCATCGCACATCGACTCGAGACAATCCAAGACGCAGACCGCATTCTCGTCATGAATAGTGGAAAGCTAGTGGAAGTCGGACGACCAGAGGAATTAAAATTGTGGAAACTTAGTGCTGGAGGGGGGAAGGCGAAGGGAAAGGGTTAGCTGTCCACGTAGTTGTGGAAAGCACTAAACATCAGATCAGCATGAGTTGTATTTTACATTAAAATTAAACCTATCAATGATTTTGTTTTAGAATTAGATAACACGTTCACCAACATCAACAAAATGTACAGCCATAACTAAGCATAAGAATGTCAATTCTCATCGTTGCGGTCCTTCTGCTACTGCTTCTGGGAAATTAGTTCCTAACTTGCAAACTGGAGGTTAGTTTTTGCAAACTGGAGGTTATTCTTGTACAGTTTTGAAGAAATGTGCATAGAAGCACGCGAGTTTCGGTAGTATAAGTTGCTACATATTAGAAGTGAAGGATGGAAGTACTCGTACTGCACATCCACTACAACAAGTGCGAGAGGGCCGTACCATATTGATGTGACTTCACTTTCACAATGATTCCTCTTTCATATTCATACTGACATGATATGTTTTCCTGGGTATGAGAATTAGGTCCCGCATCCTGGTACACACCCGTCTCCGCGCTACTTTTGGAGCATCCGGGACTCTTATCGGTGTTATCTGAATGAATACCTTTGCGTCGGGGTCGGTTCTCTCTCGAAGTTTAATTTTCAAAGTTCACTAGGTAAGTCATCGGTTTTGCATGATATAGTCTTCCTGCGTGTGTCTAGCCTATCCAAATCGGTCGTCAGACTATAAGTCCTCTTCCCATGGTACTGCTGTGGCTCTGACAGTCTCCATGACATCCCCCCCCAGACTGCCTTTAGTAGACTAGCCTCCACAAGCTTCGCCTGGCTTCAAATTCGTCACTTTTCTGCCTTCCACGGGCTGCCGCTAGAGTAGAGACAGCTCGCGGGCGAGCTGCTGCACTCTACGGATTAGCTGCAACGCGAACCGAGTGCCGGCGCTGACCGACTCAGACGCGTGGACCCACGGGCGGAGCGTTGGGCCGTCTTCGGTTTTTTTATTGGACTGCCGGGTGGGTCACGCAAATCCTCAAGAATTTGCAAGACTGGCTGACCTTCACGGCAGTCCAATCAAAAAACCAGAAGAGAGCCACCAGACACGCTGAAGAACTCGCAGGCCCCAGCCCAACGCGCAGAAGCGCCCCCCCCGCGGGGGCACATCCATGCATGAGCGAGGGGCGACCTCGAGGGGTCAAGAAAAGGCAACGCATGGCCGCGCCGCTTGGGTCTTCCTACGCGCCTACAGCTGGCGGGGCTTCTTCTTTCGTCGTCTTGCGTCGGAAACTAAAGGGTGCACCTCGCGGGAGAGTAAGGCGCCGCCCTTTGGGCTGAGGCTGACGCCTCTCGTGAGGGTGACGCCCTTCGTCGGGCTGGCGCCTTATTTTCGCCAGAATGAAGACAGGAGACTGCTGCCTTTCGTCAGACTGATGCCTTTCGTCAGACCACCGCTTTGCGTCAGACTGACGGCTTTCGCTGGAGGGCGGGCCGGCGTTTTTCGGCAGGCGTCCCTCTTGGGTCAGACTGAGGCTCTTCGCCGAAGCAACGTCGCCCGCCGGGCTGATGTCTTTCGCCAGCGCGAAGCTTTTCGCCTGGCTGACATCCTTCGCCGGACCGCGGTCGACGTCTTTGGTCTGTTTGGTGGCTTTCTCCTTCAGCTTGCTTGGCGCTTTTCGTCAGATGACTGGTGCACACGCTCACCAGTGGGGGGGGCGCCTCTCGCCAGGCCGACGGACTACTTTGCTAGGCGTCTGCTTTGCGTCGGAACAGGCTGAGGCCTTTCTTCGGGCTGCGGATGTCTTTCGTCAGATTGTTGGAAGCTTTTCGCCGGGCTGGCGTCTTTGTTTCATTGGATTGGCGTCATTGGCTTCGTCAGGCTGACACCGTTCGTCAAACCCACGCCGTCAGGCGTTTGTCGTCAGGCGTCTGCCTTCGGACCAGTCTCGTGTGTCTGGTGTCTTTATCTTTTTTGTAGGCGGGCAGCTTGTGGTCGTCAGTCACGCGCGCGCTGTCAGGCGTCTGTCGCCTGGCGTCTATTCTCTCGCGAAACGTCTTCCGCGAGAAGTTGTGCGGCTTTTCTTTCGTCGGGCTTCTTTCGTCGGATCGATGTCTTTCCTTCGTCGGGCGTCAGTCTTTCGCGTGACGTCTTTCGCCAGTCAGACGCGCTGCGCCGGCTGTCGGCTGTGGGACGATTTGCCTTTGCGTCAGAAGTCTTTCGTCAGAAAGCTGGCGAGATGTCGTTCGCCAGGCTGACGTCTTTCGCCAGACTGACGTCTTTGCTTGGTCAGAGGTCTCCTCTTTCGTCAGAGATCTTTCACTTTCTCCGCAGGTCTTTCGCCAAGGGTTTATATTTCTCTCAGAGGTCTCGTCTCGTCGAAGGTCTCTCGTCAGAGGTGCTTCGCCGAGGGTCTTGCTTCAAGGGTCTACTTCCAAGAAAGGACTTCTGTCCCGGGTCTTCTGTCGTGGGTCTTCTTTCGCGGGCCTTTTGTCAGAGGCCTTTCCAGGGTCTTCTGCCAAAGGTCTGTCGTCAAATGTTTCGCGTCGGACTTCTCACCCCCGCTTGCGTCCCTACCCCCGTCGGGCATTTTTCCGGCTTCTTCTTGCTAGTCTGCCACGGGGGTAAGGCGTAAGCCCCAACGCGAAAAAACGGTCGGAGACTATCGAGGCTGGTGTCTGAGGGGAAGGGGCGGAAGGCTGTGGGCAATAGCTCGGGGGGGGCGCTGACTAGTCGCCGGTGGGCTGGGGGGGATTTTGTGCTGGTGATGAGTGTATAGCTCGGAAATTTCACCCCACGCTCTGACAGGGGAAGTTTTGGCGAGGTCCCTCGAGTTGGCTGTCTGAACTGCTCAGCCCCTGACCCTCATCTGCGAAGTAGAGGCGGGTCGAGTGGCAGAAAGCAAGGAGGCCCAGCACTCGAGACCCTGGACTCGGGCCCACCTCCTAGCACCTGGGGCCACTTTGCAGAGGTCGACCCAGATCCGCCGCGTGGTCAATGCTGACAGGCGCGCGGCTTGTGCGTAGGGGTCGGGCAGTCTTCAGGCCATGGCGCTGCATGTGGGCGCATGGCGTGGCAGCGACCCGACTGGCCGAGCAAAATCCAGGCGGCGGCTCGGGTCCATTGTCGTCGCCGTTCCCGGGTGGCTTGTCATGCACCGCGCTGGCCTGCGACGGTTTTCGCTGGCGGTGGCTTGTCAGGGTCGCTGTCACGCTTGTACAGCACACAGGCGCCCTCTGTCAGTGGGTCACCCTGGCCACCAACAGGTGAGGGCCCGCGCGACTGGTCTGCTGGCGTCAGCCGTGGCAAGAGCTGCACAGGCGTGAATGTGTTTGGCTCCATTTGGCTGCCTCTGAAGTTGGCATGGGTTTGCCGCGAGCTGAGGCAGCCGGTCCTCTTTGAAATCCCGGTCCTCTTTGAAATCCCAAGCCTGAAGGAGGGCGCTCGCTGTGGTCGGCGACGCTCTCCATTCATAGTGACAACCGTGGCGCCAAAACTTCCCCTGTCACGCGTTGGGGCGGAATTTCTCAATCATACTGCACTTTCGCGCGCCCCGACCGACGAGAACAACATGATGAACAAGGACAACCCACGCCGGCTTACATGAGCAACGTGATGCACTCAGCTAGCCAATGCGAGTCGACGCCTACACGACTGGCATATTGGAACAAAGCGCTGACTAGCTTAAGCATAAGCGGAACTATGCATACAACTTGGAACTGTACCGACACCGAAGCCGAAAAAGCCGTAGCTAGTTTTGAGTAAAAGAGTTTGTGTGGTGCGCAGGCTATATTCGTTTTAGAGTCGCTCAGTCACTTTACAATCATTCGCTGACAGTTGTAACTGTACTGCAGAGTCTTGCACACTTTACGCAAGGAGCAGACTCTTAGACTAATACTAATTCTTTCCCTATTGAATAGTTAACTAGACGACCTATACTTCCGGCAAGGAGCGGCTGTGTATTATACAAAGCAAGGTTAATAGTGTATCTAGCGTTGGCTAAAGGGTCGCCTCGCAAACGTCCTTTAGTCAATTGTCCTCGTTTCCCACGTTATAGGAGAGTAGCATATGACGATGCATCCATTTCTTTCTTAGGTCTTCTCAAATTAGGATGGAGGCACTGCTTCGGATGGATGTTAAAAGTTACAATTCGGCTGTCTTGATATTGCGTCGGCTGTCTGGATTCGTACGTCTTCTTGAACTTCGGTTGTAACTACTGGTCTTCTTGATTTCGGTTGTGCCTAGTGGTCGCCCATGACGCGGTGGCATCAGTTCTATCTCTTGTTTTCATAATCGTCAGTGAGCATTTCTCTGTCATAATCGACCTTTCGAGATTGATGTCGTTCTCGGTTGTATGATTCTTGCCTTGATGGCCCCTTCGTATTGAGTGATGTTGACACGAGTAGACGAGTTAGAGAGATGCCATGCTTTCGCCCTCTGCCTTGCTTTTCCTAACGATAGGCGTTTACCTAATTAACTTATTTATTGTGCTTTGGTTACTTGTTTACTTGTTTGTTAACGTCAACGTCAAATTGCTTTCATCCCTAAACCTGCCTGCTTGCTTGCCTACCCAAATACCTCTCACAGGGCATGGATGTTCTGTCTTATGGCAAATGTTATGGGTTTTCCTTAAATGACTGCGAATGTTCTACAGCTGTGGTAATAGTGAGCCGGCACCCCTGCTGTATTACCACTTTTCTTTCTGTAGATCATTGCGAGCACCTTCTTCTTGTCTCCTCTCAAAGAAGGACCTCAGGGGCAGAAGCAGTCCCTAATATGCGCATATTAGTATTATACATATTTTTTATCTAGTTTAAGTATATATAGCACTTTCTTTACTCCAGTCAACACTTGTAGGACAACCCACTAACAACCACCATAGGGAATGAAGTCCAAAAATGACCTCGTGCCCCGTCTCCAGCTGTCTACACGACAGCTACCACTGAAGACTATTAACTTGGCTCTTGTGTTATATTTTTTTGTCCAAAGAAACTGAAGGATCTTGGTCTTCTTCGGTCGTTCAAAACATTATTTATTGTGCTTTGGATTGCCTCGCCGGCCACCGCGGTGGCCAGCTGTTTTTTCTTTAGGTTGGATGCACCCTCGAGGAGAGCTAGTAGTGGTGAATCGGTACCCATGGTCTCTACTAGCACAGGGGTCTCCTTGACGTGCGAGCGTCTGCCCCTGTTTACACTCCCCGCATGGAGTTGTAGGGGTGGGACGCCATGGGCTGTAGCATCAATTTTCTTAGCATTATTCAACTTAGTAATTTAAACACTAGTTGCCTCTTCTTGCGCCTTCGTGCGTCCTCGGCTTCTGCTACACCACGCGCGTCAGCGATGAGTGAAGCTACGTGGATGCTTGCCTGTTCATTCAACGTGCTCAACAAGGTAAGATCATGGGTTTTTGGCACAACTTTCTCTACGGACAATCATACTGCTTCGAGGTGAGGGCGCTGCCAGTGTTTTTGCTTATGTAACACGTAAGTGCTTCGTTCTAGCACGTAGCTGCCTCGCATATTCCATGGCCCGCCACTCTTTACGCAGTTCGTAGCACGCTGGCAGGCCGTACGCATTTCATGCAACTCGTAGCATTTGCGAGACCCTTCGGCCCTGCTCCAGCGTGTGTACACGCCGGCCGGGGGCACGTGGGCGGTATAGATCGACAGGATAGCTTAACAGGATAGAGTGGCAATATAAATGAATATCTTAGATTAATACTTTTTTCATTTTTGTAATGTTTTAGCACTACCACAATTGACTTAATGATATTCTTTTGTAATGCTTCAGCACTCTCGACTTATAGTAATTTTTTGACACTGACTTCGTTCGGATGATGATTTCGACCAATTTGTTCGACGGCATGGCCATGGGGAAACTCCTTCGAGTTCGTTATTGTTTGAGTCAATGAAATGTGTGATGTTCTTTGATTTCTCCGAAAAACTTTTCGCATTTGTAGAAAATAGTAGGAATACCGAAGAAGTCGCTTATCGTTATCGTAATCTCACGCCAAGGCGGAAAAACATAAGCAAAATGGGGGCTGCCGGCGGGCTCCTCTCTCCGAAGAAGCCGTGCAATGACACTGACATGGCCGAATTCGTTTATGGCGCCCTTTTCGACGAAAATCTGGCGAATAACCCGTTTGATGCGTGGTTTCACAAGGGTCCTCTCAGATCCGAACTTTTGTTCCCCGAGAAACAGAGTCAAAACACAATCGCTGAGTTTCTCGGACTGCACCAGCAGGGTGCTTTATGACAGTATCGAAGATAGGCAGTGCCTCTATGTGAATATTCGAGAGGTATTCGGCTAGGGTCACGATACGTGGCACTTGTTAGGAAGTGTGTGACTTCTTTGTGGATTCCTTTTGACAGCTTCATAATCGTCTCTCAAGAATAAAAACCGCGAGTGACGCCGATATCGTGCAATCATTTGTATATATTTTTATTTTCCTGTGCTGTATATAATTTGATTAAGTTGCATTGTAGCAGTAGCATTGAATTCAGTAATAATTAAAGTACATGTGCAGCTTGTGTGTTGTATTTTTTTTTCAATGTGATATTACGACTGGACAGCTAAAGAAATCTAGCCGCCTCCACCTCTAATTGCCGATACATTGCAGTGCTCGCTTCCGATACAGCTAAGCTTCAAAGCTAATTACAACGTAGGATTGAAATATAAGCAGGGATATAGTAAGAGCCAGTTCGGCGACGACTCCAATTCTTCACCTTCTTCGCTGGAGTACCCCCATCCTACTCGTTTTGAATTTTTCCTGAATGTCAAGTTCTCTGATCGTAAGGGTAAGCAACCGGAGTACATTATTTCTCCTGTAACTGGAACTTTAGAGTGCGCAGACGGTAATGACAAAGGCAAGTTGATCTTGGAAGCGACGTACCGTGTTCGTAAAACGGAGACCGAGACGACTAGGACTACATCTAGAAAAATTTTTGCGCCACCTCGAGGTATAGAGTTTCTTGTTAGATACACCGATTTTAGCTAGAAGCCGAAATATAAACATCTTTTATATAATTATAATGTTGCCCGTGGTTTTTAAGCGATTGCAGTGTCCTGAAATATCACGCAAGCAAACTGATGGTGATGACTTCTCAGAATTATATCTTTCATTCCTTGATTTCCTTTTCTCGCTCTACTCCTGCCTCGAATACAGGTGTAGACAGTGGCGCTTGTCCCACGAGCGCATATCCCACTACCAATTCGGACAGAGAGGGTGCCGCCGATGGCGCTGCAGCAGGTTCAGGCTCTATGTCTACCAAGCGCGCCACGTCTTTCGCGCAGGAAGTTGTAACCGCGTACGGCGCTGGCAGTCGCACGCTGAGTGACGCCGTCTCTATCTTCGCGTTCTCTATGGGCGTGCTGCTGTTCATTTTCTTTGGTCGTTGTTTGCGCAGCTTGTACCGTGCTCAGCAAGGAAATTAAGAAAGGCTGTTGACTTTGACATTAACACTTGAAAACGTATGTGCTGTCGTTGTGTTAGGTAGTACTCCACAGTCGACGAGGACGCTTCTGCGTGCATTGATTTGTACTAAGTAAATTATTTTTAGGCATGAAATGTAAATCAGCTAACGACCTCTAACAAACTCGACCGCTACGAGGTGAAGCACTTGCGGTAGCAGAGGACTTGGAGAAGTATGGCTCGGTGGCGTCATCTCCTTAAGGAGCTTTGGTTTCTTTGAATTGATGGGGAGGTGCCGGCAGGATCTCAGACGGTAGAGCCGGTTTGGTACAAAAGGGAGGTGGGAAGACGGCAGTCGGCTGGAAGTGTTACATTCGACGACGAAGTTAAAGCTTGTTGTATGTTTGTTTTTCACTACCTAGCATAGACGTAGACTGCACATCCACATCAAAACTACATGTTTAACTGAAATAGCAACCACGAGCACGATTTCGAATCATATCTACTAGAAGTATTAACAAAGTATACTTCAACTTGTCACCACAAAAGAACGCATCGCATTCACAGGACGTAGAAGCTCCATTGATCGCACATCTCTCTCATACTCATATACGCATACACTAAGATTTATATATGATATCACCATGACTGTTACTAGCGCATTGGATTTGAAATCGCTCAGAATTTCGCATCCGAACGAGAACGAGTTCCATTTGCAATATGTTTCAAAAAAAAATGAATGTCAACATCCATTTACATGAAATCATCAATTCACCTTCATTGTATTTAACATACTCAAATTGGATCGCGACTCATTTTCGGGGAACTTGGCACAAGATGTCAAGAAGTTCAATCTATTAAATATGTTGCGCCAATAGATAGCTATTTATGCATCTAAATCGCATGTAATCTTATACGATAGCGATATCAAAACAAAATCTATGAATGTCTGATTGTTCCTGCTGTACTTACTTAATCTGTTCATATGTCTTCATGGAATCATTGATCATGGTCGTCCCTAGTCAGCTACGCCTACGAGGCAGAGTAGCTATCTGCATACAACTAAATTGTCTTCAAGTACGAAACGAAAACAGCTCGTCTAAGACGAGTCTGTCGCTCAATCTTTGAGCTTGTATTTGATTTTAGAACGCAACAAGTGGGGAAACTCGAAATGCAAACAAATTAAAACGCATTGATTGCTGTATATAGGACTGGGTGCAAACAAATCAAAGCCATTACAACATGTTGAAACAGCCGTCTTGGTCTTGCTTGTTGCCAGACAGGCAAGTGTGTGTGTGTGTCTGAGCACGACGCGATGTTGAGTGATGAGTGCCCCTATGGCTGATCTGAATAACCTTGTCAGATCTGAATATTCATAAAAGGAGTAGAAATACTGCACCAGCAGCGAATAAGTAGGAATATGATTCGACCACGTGCTCTACTCTCTGATTTGTTTCTAAAGTGAAGCTGGTAACGGTCAAGGGGCAAAGCACAGGAGTGAACAAGAACATCGAGGTCAAGTTCAAGTTGTAACACTTTATCAGATATTATTGTAAAATTCGTGAAAGCAAAATGCCGTCGAAGCCTCCCTTGATGGTGCAGCCACGAGGTGTCCGCAGCGGCTGCAAAGCCACACATCCTGGTCGGAGTCGGCGGAAGAAGATGAGCCGACGGGATATAGTTCTTTTGGTTTCTTCAGTTTTGTGCAGTGCTCAAGCGACATCAGTCGCTGCGACGTCGTCTACGGCCTCCACTGCTCAAAAGAAAGTCTTTGTAAAGCACCAGACATCGACTACTTCGCGGAGTAATAAAGGCAGCATATCTGTAGCACGCTTGCTGAGCATGTCTGGCAGAAAGTATAGCCGCAAAATGACTTCTTCGCTTCAACAAGACCGAGAACAACCAACAGAAACAGCTACAGGTGACGACCAAACAATAGAAGAGGGCTCTAGTACTCTTGCTCGAGCGTTTCAGCGATTCTCTGAAATCTACCATGCAAGAGCACCAGGTGGATCAAGGAAGCTAACAAAGGAGTCCTCGACAAGTAGTGGTAAGAGTTCCGATCAACCAGGAGTTCAAAGTCATGTCTTCCTAGAAGAATCAGGAAAAGAGCATTCGATATCTTCCAGCAGCAGCAAATCCTCGCCAACGCCAAGCAGACGAAACCCATCAGACAACAAGCAAGTAGACGAGAATCAAAATACACGAAGTATTAATCCAATGTCTTCAGATCATGATCCAGCTTCAGCTTCAGTAGGTGTGGCTTTCATACGAAATCTCTTCGTTCAACAACTTATCAATGTGAAACGAACGATACTTCGAGAAGATGAAATGCAGGATAAGCAGAAAACAACAGGAACAAATACGACTGCCCATGAGCAAGAACAAGGACACGGTGGAGATTCCCATTCCCTTGTTTCTAGAAATAATGGAGCTGTTGACAAGAAAAGTAATGTGTCGTCAACATCATCAGACAACAAAGTAAGCGTTAAGGGGTCTGCAAAAGATGGAGCCATCGCATTTGCACTTCATGGCGGATCATCGGAGAGTGGATCTGTAGAAGTAGAGCAGGAGAAAAAACGGCTCGTGGAAAAGCGTGGTCGTAGTGGTAGCATGCAGGGTGGTAGCTCATCTTCCAGTAGTAAGCGGGGGACCGGCAGCAAGGATGGTGCTGGTGGTAGTAAGCACAGTGGTAGTTCCTCTTCCAGTAACGAGGACGAGGCAGTATTACAGCAGAAGCGCAGCAAGGAGGAGGCGCAGTTGGAGGCTGAAGGAGAGGCACAGATGCAGAGCTTGTACAAGCTTCGGGGTCCGCGTCGTCTCAGGTTGAGTGATTTCAAGGAACGGACGAACTTCACTCTTCCTGAAGACTTAAGCGTATGGTGGCACTAATTGAGAGCGAACGAATAGCAAAGGGGATGTCGACAGGTTATACCCGGTTCAGCAGGATTTAATCCTAATGCTGATGCATAGCCTAAGGTCGGCATTGTTCCCTTGTTGTTGACATCATGCTTCTCAATCAGTGATGTAGCATTCATTGACGCAGATAGAATACTCCTCAGACCTAGACATACCACCTGCATGGAGCGCCAGCGATTATGAGTGGATGTCGACGTCGTACGTGAAGAATTTTGACTCGCCAAACCAGGCCTGCTGCTTTTGCAAAGAGGCTTTGTCGATTGCAGGGATAGCCAACAGAACAAGAAAAGTAAATGGAGCAGGTATGAACTGAACCTCATTCTGCTTAGCACCTTGATTAGACAGGTTCTTTTTACAAGTGGAAACAAATGTCGATACCGATGTCGACGTTGATCAGCAGATGTTCTTTCACTTGTTGTTCCTTCTTGTGATACGTAGTATGCCTCTGTTAGTGTTACCTACAATGCGCAGAACAAAATCCACCACGATCTCTACAACTCTGCACCAGGTAACATGGTTCCACCAGAACGATTTTGTAGTGAGACGATTGAAAACATGGAGTATATCACTGACCACGCTGAAGACATAAAGTGGCATGATCGGCTAAATGTTACGCTTGAGGCTGAGCTGTTGCAAGATCTATGATGCCGCTGAGTTTTACCCCCCTTGTTAGATTTAATGTTTATTTACCGAACCTTATAGTCTTATTAAATTCAACAGTATAATGTCCTTAGTTTTTGTCTCCTCACCTCTTCCTGTCTATGAAAGAAAACTAAGGCAAGGGACTCGGATTCACCTACGACAACCTCGTTTTCCCCGCTCCCGCTCCTTCTTCATACCGAAACGGAATAACAATCGACACTTCCCAAGCAGTGCCCAAACCTGGCGCAGCGGTCTGTAAGCAGCGATGTCACGAAGCTGATGGTTGTAGCGCATGGATGTGGAATCAGGATACCACTATCCCAGAAATTGGAGTCTGCAAACGATGGTACGGAGGTAAGGCAGCACTGCTGAAAGAGAATCGGGACACATCCTTGATGTTGGAGCATGGTGGCGCAACCATGACCTACACAGCGGGAAGGTGCATGCCAGCTTTGTCTGGTACTTGGGCATTCTATCTTCCTGTTTGATGATGATGTTCATGTTTCAGCCTACCGACCACAAAATGTGCATGAGCTTCGAAATTTTGGACTCGCCTTCTAGCCACTCACCTTTACCGTCTCCATTTCCACCACGACATGACTTGCATTTGACCATTATACCTCCTAAAACAACAACAGCTTTCAGTTGCGGGTTTGGCCCATGTGCAAAATTTGTGAATTGGCAAAACGGCGGTCCAGAATCAAAGGAAGAGTGGTGTTGGACTCCTGGAAAATTCTTCAAGCCGACTGTTACGGGTCAAACTTGTTAGTTTTTGATGAAGTACTTCACGTTTTTAGTTCACCTTCTAATCGTCCTCTCCCTGCGGCGAACAAGATTTTGACTACTCCACGTTTTTAGTTCTCTAATCGTCCTCTCCCTGCGGCGAACAAGACCGTTGGAACCGAGTGGGCGCCGTGTGGTAGTGAGACCGAATCCAACTGCACAACGAGTTTTTGCGTCAACTACGCGCAAAATAATATGGCAGACGAGTGTCCTAACAGTTGTAACAGTGGATTCATCATGATCTTTTTGAACGAGTGAGAAGAGAGAAGATAACCTTGTTGGCCACTCCTGGCACGACAACTCTTTCAGCTTCACTCTTTGAACCCAAATCCATCTTCCCACATCCCCCTCGTCGCACACCATCCTCCATTTTCCCCTCTTCATTCCCCACCTGACCATCGACGACCCGGATGATAAGACGTGTCGGATGCACGCTGGCAGCCCTTGGACGCTGTACAATACTGTGGATAACCTGTTATCGCGGATTCCCGATCGAAGTATCATCAATGATTACGGCTCGGCGTCGATATACCGTTGATTGTATCGATATCGTAGTGAATGTCTCACTATCTGTATCGAACATGAATATCACTTCCTGTATCACTATCCACTTCCACGCTACCTGAATCAGTATCACTATCTGCAGGATGATAATAAATTGTCCGTTTTTTTACAGTGTGACTCACTGATGAAGAAGATCGTCATCGTCATACCATAGGAGGGATGATCGAGGCTTACTTTTTCAGTCGGACTAGCACTAGAACAGTACCTTCGTCCTCTAACACCAAGGCTGGTGGCGCGACTACTACTTCTCAAACGGGCGTAAAGATACGAAACCAAAAGGCTACATACCGCCAGACGCGGATGCGCTTATCAAATACGGTAGAGCAGCAATCGAGACGGCCAACAGCTATCCGTACAGACCCAAGTGGGGAGAGAAGATGGAGGATAATACCATCCTGTGGTCGCATAAGGGCGATCGACGAGTGCCACCGGGCCATCAGGGTTCTTAGACTCAGTAGGAAGGGGGAGAAACGAAATGTAGTAGTCGTCGTAGAATTCGAAACTACTTGTTCCTTCAGTTACAACTAAGTAAGTACGTGTAGAGGAGCTACAAGATGATCTTCCCGTTAGAAATAGAAAAACACTAAAACCTAATGATACCGCCTTAAGAATATGTAACACCGACGTTCACATCTATAGAGAATAACTCTAGTAGTCCTTTTTGGAGAATAGTCAATTTACGAGCTCGCAACCAGCAACCTTTTCGGAGAAAACATCAACACTAATTTTCAACAGGTAGAAAGAAAATTCAACAACTCAACAACACTTTTCCTTTTCGTTTCCCGCATTACATCAACACTTAAGCAACTTAGTCCTCGTTTCGTTAGTCTTTTTAGGTTTCAAAAACGAACAGGAAGCATGCGCAACATGCTCAAATCTAAGAATTACATAGCTACATCGCCACGATTCATGTAACACGGATCGATATCCTAGAAGAAATGCATAGTCACATTGGAAGAGAAATCCATGTTCATGTTGGCAGTACTCTTTGTATAGTCCATCTTGGTGCAGCTGTTGTCATGTAAACGATGGTTCACCAATGTCGTTTCGGATTCTGTCCAGACGAAGCAATAGACCATTGACCACGTTGTCATGATACAGAAAGTAGATCGTACATGAAAAGTGATACAAAGAACAGTCGCTTCCGGTAAACTCCTGGCAGGTGGATAACAACTTGCAGGAGCATCAGCTGCTGTTTCCACTCTATTTCATCTCAAGCCCAACTTTAAATGTCTTTTAACGAATCAGTCTGTGCCTCCTGGTGTGAAACGCTTAACGCTTACAGAAAACGATGAGAAGCAGCAAGTACCATGCGCATTCTTTCTGGTATTGTACATTGTATGTTGTGGAAGGAGAGACGAGTAACTCGATGTGGTAGATGAATCTGTTGCACTTGCAGTCTTGGCTAATCTGTCTGACCAAAGTCGGACAACGGAGAGATATTTTCCTCTGTTTGAGACGAGCGATGTCTTTTTTGTTCAAACTTTCTGTCAGTTATAGCCGTAGCAGAGATCTCGATCTGTTCCAGGTCTCGTAACTATTCTAAGAGGTAGTTCTTGCTCTAGTATAATTGCTCACGCGTGGCAAGTACTTCTGCTTACCGCTTTTCCTTGAACAAGGTGTGCATTTTCATTTCGTCATCCGCGAAGATGAAATTTTCAGCTTGTAGTTCCTCTAGAACTAATTTACATTATTAAGTAGGTTGTTCGTGCCAGATTGCATGGACGGTATGTAGCAGAAACAGCAAAAAGTGATTTTTTATGTTTTTACTTCCTTCCTACTAGAGTATTGTATGTAATGAAACGCGCTTCTCTATGACAAGCCTTCTTTCTTCTCTACTTGCACTCCCCGTATCCAAAACAAAGAACCTGAATATCGCAGAGATAGCTTTATTCCGATTCTGTGCCGCAATTCGTTCCGCGTTTTCCGCTGCTCTCGTCCACAATGGCAGCTCCTTCTACAACCCGCGATTCCGCGTCCGCGTCCGCGATTGACGACCCGATCCCCTCATTGCGACACGATCCCCGATCGACTGTGTCGTTTTTTGAGGATGGTGTATCGTCGTTCAACTTTGTGCCTTCCGCGACCGAATCAAGCAGGACTCCCGATGAGGAGGCGGAAGAGGCTGCCAAATCGATGCTTAGATCGATTGTTAAAGAGGTAAGGTATATGATAAGCGGTAAAATAGGACTTTTAAATTTCCATTTCATAACGTAAGCTATAATGATGTTTGGGCTAATATTTGGGCTAGTTGATGTTGTAGGGTCTTTTCTTTCATCATAGTTACTCATAACCTATGCTAAAGTTCTTGGCTATGCTACAAGACCTCCGTTTCCCCAGGTCTTCGACGTCTTCGATGTTACGCGAAGTGGAGCGATAGCGGCAGGGGAACTCGGACCCCTTCTGTCAGCATTGCACATCGAGGCTCCTCCCTCCATAGTTTCCGACTTACGAATCCGATACAATATGGAAAGGTCCGAAAGTCTAGAGTTGTCAAACTTCGAACTCCTAGCGGAAAATGAACTGGTGCTACCCGAAAACGGATGGATGCCGAAAATCGAAATATTGAGGGTTTTGAAGGTATATGCATCTGGATTTGATTTTGAAGATGACACGACCCTCTCTTTGACTATGTCCTATATGATCTGCGCGTGAAGGTGTAGATAGTTCTTAACGTATCTACTTCAGCTTCACACTCACTCAAAAAAGAGTACAACCATGCTGATGCACTACAAGCTGCAACTCCTGCTTACACTAGATTTTTCTTTCAGGAAAAAGGCTGGTCACTCGACGTCCTCTTTTCGTTAAAATGCATGTTTTTGGCCTACTACAAGACGGTTCCTCTGTCGGAACAACGTGCAGAAGGCGGAATGAACATGTCCAGTGCCATAGCACATACTTTTTCGTCGTTATGGCACCAGGTGATCGTGACGGTCATGTGGATCATAACAAGGGTTATAAAGTCAAACGTGATCATCACACTTCAAGTTCACTTTTAAATTAAAATTCTCTTCTTCAGTCTTACCACAACCACCGACTCAAGAAGTTCAACAGTTTTATTCGGGCTTTTGAAGATTGCTTCGCCCAATTGAAGATTGCCACTCCTCTAATGTCACCCAAGCTCACCTCCGATCTCCTGCTTCAACTATTGGAGAAGCTACTTCCAGGAGAAGAGTTGGACCTGTCCTTTGTGGAGGATCTGATTAGGGGGGTTTTGGACTTACCACAACCAGGGGAGAAGGATGATTATGGCTCTGGGGTTTTTTGGAGATGCAGGCTCTTCTTCTTCTTTTGCATTTCAATGAATTTGAATTTCCTGTTGTTGTAGTTGTCCAACTACTTTTTATACCAAAAAGCCCTCTTCTTTTGCATCTAAACCGTCACTGCAGACAGCTATGGCTCAAAATCCGTGGTTGCAACAGCGTCTTACAGAGAAAGCAAAGGGAAGAACCCATGCAGGATTTCAAGGCAGATATCCGGGAACTCGATTGAATCAGGGCGAACGGCGTCCAAGGAATTCGTTTTTTCACGGAACAAGTGGGGTGACCGTGACGAGCATCAAGAGGATCATATTAGTCCAAGGATGAGAAGTACAACTGGGAAATGTGGTTGCGCCAACATTCAGAGAAACAAGTCTCTATTGGTAACATCTCCTTCAGGAGGTGGCCATGGTGCAAGGAATTTTGGGACTAGAAGGGGAGGAGGTGGAAACAACTATGGCCCTTCACAATCTCCCAGTGGTGCCAACGCCACTCAGCTAGCACTGAGATCGCACCAAAGTATGTCCAATAAAGATCGGAAAAAAAAGCTCACGATGAGGAGACTTGGCGATCATGATGACGACGAGGAGACAGCAGAGCATGGAGTTGACATGGATGATTTCTTTGCAAAAAAAGCAATATCCGACGAAGAACGAAGCCAGTCCCCATCGCCGAATCATGGTGGAGCGAACAAAGCGAGGATCCATAACCACTTTCGACGAAAGCAATTGTTACGCTTACAGTCTATCGATATCGTGAATTCTGTGTTGAGAACAATGTGCGATTTTTGTAGACAACATTGACCCTCGTCTAAATCAAGCCCAACGAAAAACCCTCTTAGACGGACCGCGAAAGTCTGCCTTTCATCCTGGCTATCAGAAAGAGAAAGAGGCGCTAGAGCGACGTAAAATGGCAACGTCAAGTCCAGCGGCATGGTATAAAGTTAAGAGTAGAAAGAAGAAGGGGACAGCAAAGATGATCTTGTTTCTGTTTGGCAGGAGACGATTCTCCAACGGGCCAAGAGCAAGAAGTAGTTTGATTCCGGCCCAAGCCCATGCCCCCCTACTTCTAACGAAAGAGGCTCCGCCAGTGCACCAGAGGACGACCACGAGGATGACGATCCACCAGACAATATCCTCCACCAAGGACAGCACGATAGCCATCATCATTCTAGATCTACGTCGAAGAATTCAAAGGGACGAGGTGCAGCAGCGAGTAGAGCTAGCTCAGCTGATGGCGGGAGAAGTACTAGTATTAAGGCACAGAAAAACCCAACCCTTTACACAGCCCATTCTTCTCATTCCCCTTTTACACAAGGGGAATCCATACTGGGTAGCTGGCGTAAGGTTGGGCTTTTCTCTTCGCTAATTGTAGAATGGTATCCACGTCGACCAGTAGAGCAGCTAGTAAGCAAGCAGGGACGTCCACAGCTCATTCCTCACGGAAGGGTTCAAAGTATTCGCAGAGATCGTCCTCGTCAAATCTGCAGTTACCGCAGATCCAGTACTTTGAGGACGTCGCGACGACGAGTCAGGATGACATAGCTGCCCAACTAGGGCTGCCGCCTAGGCAGAAGATGACAGCGGAGCAATTGGAGAAACAGAGACAAGAGTTAAGGATTTGGATCGCATTTAAAGTAAGTAGAGTGACGCGGAACTTGGCCACTTTGCGCGACAGGGCGAAAGACGTTCTGTGTGTTCTGATCGGTTCCCACCATGTTGACCAGAGCGAACCACTTCACAACAGAACTTGACTGATTTCGTTCCTTGTTTTATTATGTAAGTAGGCATATTGCCCCCAGGTTGTATTGCATCAGGAGGTTCAAACTCAACATCTTCTTGGCCGAGTCGTTCAAACAGGAGAGCTCCTCTAATCCATCGACGTGCCCGCGTGACGCGGAACTTGGCTGCTTTGCGCGACAGGGCGAAAGACGTTGTGAGCGAGAGAATGGCGAAGAAACTATGCTCCAACTCGAAGTGGGCTGTCGCCGATCGAGCCCAGAACGGCACAAATGAAGGTCGAAACAGTCCTAGTTTCTTGCAGAAGATGATGTCGGGTGTTGGAGGAAGAAACACAATGGGAGGTAACGATATCAACAATCAAGCTTTTAACCGAACATTGAGCTTGAAACGGATGACGTCGACATCTTCTCAGCAATCAACTGGAGTAGGAGGACGATCAGGAGGTCGAAGACCTTTACCGAAAGTAAACCAGGCCATCACTGATGACAGATATAGCGTCACCCTGGCCGAAGATCGCGACATAGATTCGCTCAATAGCGACGACAGGCAGCATTACTCAAGAACTGGAACCTTCGACGAAAACGATTCCTTTTCCACATCTTCTGTCGTCGCTGATAGAGATCATAGCACCGATCAGACTCACGGAGTCGATCCCCTACAACTTCTTCAAAAGCAAGATTTATCTCTACATTTCGTCGGTTTTCTGCTAGTTCTGGCACAGTTTCCACAGCCGCGGGTCCCATATGTTTTCAAAAGACTCACTTTGGCTGATTTGGAGACCTGTAGAGCCCTTTTCGAATGTTTTGCGAATGACGGCTCCGCAGTGATGGAGAAGGATATGTGGACGCTGTTGAAAACGATCGATAGGAGAGTGTCGAAACGGTACTAGTTTGATAAGTGATGTTCCCGCAGCGAGTTGTAGCGCCGCTGTAGAAACAACGGACCACCTTCACCCCTTCGACATCAAAGAAATGCGTAGAACACAGAAGAGCTTCAGGGAAGTCGTAGGTCCAATCCGAACCGACTAACGTCGTCCATAAGTGTAGGACGGGAAGCAGGGGCGTACTTGCCAGAAGTTTGGCCCCTTAATTCCTGGCATCATACATAACACCGAGAGATAAGTTGACGATGGCGGTACTTTTATCCTTTTCGAATGTAGTATTTTATCCCCCAACTACCGCCTCTCAGGTGTTCCGAGCTCCTCCTTCAGATGTAC